CACTTGACTTGACGTCTAGGGAGTGCTATGCGCACCGAGCGCTGTGTAAGCCGTATCGTTCCGACCTGAAGGCGAAATTATACTTCTGTTTCAAAGCGCTGGTGAAGCACTCCTGTTATAGCGGGATGTAATTTTACAGGAGCGACCAAACCAGGTACCACAGGTGATAGAATAAATAGATTATCCGGCGAGAAACATACCCATCCCTGTCTTCAAGGGAAAGATGCAAAAAAGACCGCATCCTGTCCCAATCGGCCGACCTATAGTGCCAAACACGGCGGTGATAAGCAGAACGCAACCGCGATGGGAGTGTGAGTGGTGATCAGGATCAGACAATGGTTCAATGAGCCAAGAGTGGCGTCGACGGAAGACTGATATTCGTCCGGATGCGAGATCAACAGCAGGTCTAACAGGGAAGGTGCACGATCCGATCCATACATCTAGAATCCGCGTAGGTGAAGTAATCATTTGTGTGGGATTATATGGCAAGGCAAAGTCATAAACAGATCTTCCCGCATGATCGGTTAAACGAGAACCAAGCAATTCAGCGTGGTGGCCGTTAAAATCAACAAGGATGACGATCTCTGCAGATGGGACCTGTTGTAGCATGGACTCTGCAGCGATTTGGATATGGTCGATGAGTTGGTCTGTGTCGGCATTACCTATAAAGTCACGCGTAGATGCGAGGATGGAAGATGACAAGGGTCACCTTTTTTTATTGCTCTTCTTGCCTTGAGCACTATTAGTATTGAGCAAAATTTCGCCCCCCTCCCTCCCCAGGATACGCGAGGATTCTTATTTAATTACACTACCAAGTTAAACGGGAGAGGGATTAGGCCTCCGAACACCTGCACTTAACAGGCAAAGTAAACTTCTGCTTCACGCTGGTTATCTGTAAGGTCATGGTATCTCCTCGGTTCGAGCCGGTCCACCCATTCATTACAGCTCTTCATTTTATATCTTACCAGGTCGTCACTCCACCTAGTTTGGCCCACCCGTGCGACAGGAAAAGCTGCCGTGTGGCTCTTCCACTGTTATGTTGTCTACCTATATTATTAACTGTAATCTACTTCGTCAATATTTATGCTTTACATATAATACTTAGTGGTAAGTAGCTTTGCTTTATTATACCCTGCAGTGGGCGCCAAAGTGCTAATGATGAAGTAGTTCTGCACCTTTAAAGTATTTAGTTTAGTTTAAATAGGGCCCCAATTTCATTTTTGCCCCGGGGCCCTTGGTTACATAGCTACGCCACTGTGGAACACAGCAGTATTATGCTGCTATTTTAAGCTGGTACTGTGGAAGCGTTGTCCTTCTCCAGTTGAATCGACCTATTCGTACTACAACCATAATATAGCTGCAGCATAGCATATCGATGGATGCAGATGGCTCAGGCCCGTGCTTTGTGGCATTTCTTGGGGAGGCCTATGTTCAGCAGTGGACTTGTAAAGGGCTGTAATGATGATGATGATGATGGCTCTACCAAAACAGGATTTTGAAACTTTTTAGTTATATATATAAAGGCTATAGCAATGAGGGCAGCCACGACTTTTTCTGCCACCAGGGCGGCGCCACTAGAAAGTGAGGTATAATATTTGACAGATATCATAGCGGGGAAGTGAATTTGTTCGGAAAATGTAAAAGTTATTGTTTCTTTTTGTCCTATTAGCTGTATTTCATATCAATAAAATTGAAAATAAATAAACCAAACCACAGATATTCATAAAAGTAGAAAAATAAAAATAAACTTATAAATGTGCAAAAAATTAAAGAGAAAACCAATGACACATTGTTTTGTGTATTAATATAATACTCTAGAAACTGATAAACTTCTCAATTAAATTACATTGTCTAACAAAAAACTTTACCTCAATGTCAACTAGCGACATTTGGTGAGCAAGAAATTATTAGCTCTCATTATATAAGCAGGACGTTAGAAAAATAATCTAATCTCTATAATTATAAGTTTCTCATAATTCTAAAATCAATGGAAATAACATAGGTATTATCTCAACGTTAAATCTAGTGATTGTCATGAGACTAATGTAGGTAATATTAAAAAAAAAAGTTGATTTATTAATTTAAAAAAAATATTAGCGATAACGGTACGTTCCTTGGGAAAGAGTTATGTTCAGCAGCGTACTTGTGAATGGCTGTAATAACGTATTGATGATCATGATGAGGTTGCAAAAAAAAAATGATAAAAATAAATTGTATTATTTTAACGTTGCATTATTAATTCCGACAAAGATGAGACTTAATAAAAAATTTTGCAATTATAATAATTCTCCAAATGTATTATATTATCAGAAATAAAGGCTATTTGAATTTGAATTTGAATAAATGCATAAATTATCAACCAGTCTTTATTTCTCGAACAAGTTTAATCTTGTTGCTTGCTGTTGCAAAGTTAATTAAGGCTTTGGATGTTAAATTTAGAATATTTAGTGTTAATAAAAATTAAAATTAAGAAAGTATTCTTTATTTAAATAAATTCAGTACATTTTTTTTTATTCATTTTACTTTTATGAAAAATAGCAAAACAATATTTCTTTTAAAAGCCTCAAGTAGGGTAAACAGTACCTACTAATGTTGGCACTCCTACAATGATTGGCACTATTGGCTATTTTAATCTGAATATTAAGAATGTTTTCCTTTTTCTATATCACAGCTACACAGATATTGCTAAGATATATATATAATTACGTATACTAACAATACACATTTATATTTAAAGCGTCAACTATTTTCCTATAAGGGCTGTTTTAAAAATGTGTGCGGACAAATCCGTTAAAATTTAACAAAAAGTTAAGGTTATGAGGCTAGATTTTGAGACAAAAATGTGATTTTTAAGTAAGTTTATATGCAAGTTTCTGTCTATTTTAATCAATTAACGTCATTAAAGCATATTAAACGTTATTTTATCGTTGTGAAATAGAAGCATCGGTTTTTTTTAATTGTGCCAATGACTATACTTTACTTTGTTTGACTACATAATCATCACTATACTTTCTTTCTTTTGTCCAAAATCTATTCTTGACACTGCCAATGACTATATCCTTTGAGTAGTGCCAATTATTATGACTGAACTTTTTCATATTTTGAATTGATGAAGAATACTGCTATTAAGAGAGGGCGCGCCCATTTAGTCCAGATAAAGTGGATTAAACAAAGTGTCCGGTGCCCTCGAAATCACAGCAAGCCATTTTAGATGACCACCGTTCCGTGCCATTACGCCGAAGTACCTAATATTTTAAGAATAACGACTAATAACGACTGAATCAGAAATACCGGTATCAAATTTGCCTTGTATCCTTTCACTTAATAATGGTTTATCAGCACCAGAGCGTATACAACCTGCAGAGACTATTGTTGAGTATCAGAAAGAAAACTAACCCTTATGTTTTTCATCAGCTAGGCAGCAAATTTAGAATTTGTTGGAGGTGAATGGGTGATTGTGAATGTCGAAATAAACTAAAATCTTTAGTTATTTTCCATTGCCAAATATGTGTCAAAAAGCAAAAAGCAGGTAAACAACGCCGTTATTTTATGCTAACAAGATTCGGAAGCAGCGGAGCAAAAAAAAATGGAAAAATTGGGCACAAATGGAAAATGCAGAATTGAATTAGTCAGCCAAATATAGAAACAAACTGACAAACAAAACAAGAAGAACGAAGCCAAAAACTCTGACATTATAATACTCTCTAAATGTTTAATCTAAAAAACTGAAATAAAGTTCTATTTCTACAAAATATCTAGAAAATACGAAAGGTTTTACTAAAAAAGTCACATCAAAAATGTATACGAAGAAAGAAAAAAACATGGTAGACAAACGAAACCGCTTTCAGATGAAGATCTAAGGAAAATTTTTGAAGAAGATTTGTTCAAAATAAGTGTTATAACAATAAGATGGAGCTTAGAAAGATCTGGGAATAACTTTTTAAGACTTCCAATGGTGCCAATGATTATACTTAATTTACAGTGCCATTCACTATGCTAAAGTGCCAATGATTGTAACAGTCCCTAGAAAAAAGTTTAATTAGATTTTTAACTTAATTAAACATTTCTTTTTAAACGTAATGCGTTATTTTATTTATGCTTATTTAAACTAAAATCCAACAAAATAAAAATATAACAAAATTGTTTATTTACGAGAATTAACCAAATACAAGTAGAAATTCGCTTAAAGTGCCAATCATTATACTGCTTACCCTATTTTAATAAAAAATTGAACACGTTTAGGCAAAAGCAATCTCCTGTATAGAGCTTTATTTTGACCGTAAGCAAATAATATGAGAAACTAAATTAAAGTAGGTAGAATTAAACGACATATTATTCTGTAAATTTATTGAAAATTTAAATATAATATCAAATACTATGTTTTTATATCACAGTGAATACAGGAAACAATCAATCTGTATAATTATTTTATGACACAATTTAGCAATAATTCAATTACCATTTTTCACATGAATTAATTTTGAATTATGTTTAAATATCTCCTTATCCATTCGACCAAGGTTAGATGTTAGATATTCACTTTTTAATACTTATGTCAGTGAGTTAATAAATATTTTTAAAATATATGCTCGTATATTATTTATATTTTAAGTACAATATTTTTTATTAATTTTAATATTATATTATAATATTATTCATTTTACTTTTGACAAAAATTTTAAATATAATAATTATAAAGACAACCTAAATTTAAAAAATAATTTAAAAAAAATAATTTAAAAATGAACACGTTTAGGCAAAGGCAATCTCCTGTATAGAGCCAGTTATTTTCAAAACAGTAAGCAGGTATATGAAACCAAATGAGAATAAGAAGACATCTTTGTCCGCTAATTTACTGAAAATTGATAGTTATAATCTCAAATACTGAGAATTAAAGGGTTTATATCATAGTGAATACAGGAAATATACAATCAATCAAAAACAGTCTGTATATTTATTTTATTTTACTTTCAGGTATCTTATTATCCAATTGACCAAGGTTAGTTTTTAGGTGAACTTTCACATGTTTCGGGAATAAATTCGAACTCATACGTATCCTTTCCACCCCAACAGACCAGAGCCTGTTCTGAAACAACCAAATCCTTAAGGTTGTCCTTGTTAGTGAATCGGAACCTCTCCAGAGCTTTAGCCGGGAAGAAACCTTTAATGAGCTTGAATCCAGCCGACATAATCCACGGCATCTGATAAATAATGCAATAATTTACGAAGTTCGGGTAATAATTCTTTAAAAGCGACACCATATACATAACTAAGTCCAGGTCCATATTACTGACACCGCAACCGTCCATGTCAAGGAAGAGAGTAATCGGTTTTCCGTCTTCTTCCCTCTCCATCCGCTCCAACCAGTATATCACGACCTTTTTCAATTCCTCTACGTTGCTCTGCCCTTTAACGTACAGTTTCCACTTTGTAATAAAAATCAGAGAACCATCTATGTCTCTTCCACGTGGAAAGAAGATTCCTGCTTTTAAATAATTCATACTAACTTTCTCAGCAATGTTATTAGCATCAACTTTTCGCCTCCACATCAGTATATCCCATAGCATTTTTGCAGATGCTTTCGCATTACCATCACAATGGTCTAACACTCTTGTCACGTATTTATCACTTTTCACTCTCTCCAGATCACGTGGATCGAATTCACCTGGCGGATTCGGAATACCTTCTTTAAGTTTTTCCTCGAAAAGACTTCTAACTTCAGTTATCTTCGTCATTTTTAATTATATTTGTCAATTAAATATCTTTTTTAAGGCTATCTTTTACATTATTTTCTTTTTTGATTTTTCTTTCTTCTTTAATAACTTTTTTTTATTTTAACTAAACTAAATTATTCTATATTTTTCAATTAATTTCTCTCAACCGTCTTCTTCAATGTCTTTACCTTTTTAGAAAAAAAAAATAAAATTAATTATGGTTTTACGATAAAAAAATTACAAAACAAGAGACAATACAATAAACGACCGCTATTCGAGATAATTATAAACAAACTGTACCTAACATTTTTTACTAATAACGACCGCTATCTACTACATTATCGTTGGTTATCTGAAAGTCTACAACAGACAAACGACGGGACGGCGGGCGGGTGAATCAAATATGTTGTTTGGAGAACCATTAGGACTTTGGAACGTGGAGGTTAATGTAATATTATATGCATATCCAATGTCACAAATTATTAATATCGACTCATTGATCTTTTTTTTTTTATTAGTGATCGATGTATCGACTCTTAGAATATACCGTGTTTATGTACTTTTAACTTTTACGCTCTGTAGGTATATCACACAACTACGCTAATAGGTTTAATTATTAGTATTATCTCTGTACCTATATGACTTTTTGTGTTTTTTTGAGAAAACTATAATAATAATAATTTATTATACTTTAAACTTGTAGTACATACAGAAAGAAAAATCTTAAATCGTATAGCAATAAAGTTAGGTTAGGTTAGGTTAGGTTCCCCCCCGAACGGGTTCCCGCCTTGTCGTGGCGGGGGGGCTTAGTAGCCGTGGCTTGGTCAACCACGGTGAACAAAGAGGAACCCCTTGGCTGGCCCGTGGTGTAGGGCCGGCCCGAGGTGGCCACTCCGAGTGGGCTTGGGAAGCCCACTTCGGATGTGTGTCGGTGGGATGCTGCGAGAGGGGTGTCCGCTCCCTCTATCGCTGCAGCCGAGGTGGAGTCGCGGAGGAGGAGGCGTGCTGGTATGGCGATGCGCCACTCGCCCTATCCTCCGCGACTCAGACGGGGCCGCACCGTTGAGTGATGCGGTGGTGGTGGGGCTGCGGGGGGAGAGGAGTGTCGGTATTGCGAGGCGCCGCTCTCCCTACCCTCCGCAGCCGAATCTTGGTTGGCGGCGGAGCAATAGACCAGATCCGCCGCTGGGGTCAGGAAGGCTGGTGCTTCTGAGTGCTAGTTTTTCCTGGCCCCATGGCCTTCGCGCATCGGACGCGGGGGCGTCCGTTGCGCATGTGAAATTGGAGGCCGAGGAGGAGGGCGCGCCATGTGTTCTGGTGCGCCTTACCTGAGAGGGAGATGGGGGAGGAGTGGTCCTCTCCCGAGGAGGGGCCGCCATGGGGCGGCCAGCGCAGGTGGGGCCGCGGAAGTGTGCGAAAGCGTTCCCGTGGCCCTGCCAATATGCGACGAGGTTAAACCCCATGGGGTTTTAGTCGGTGCGAGTCCGACATAACCCGTCCTTGCCCCCGCGAGGCGGGTATGCGTAGGCATTTCCCCATGTAAAAAAAAAAGGTTAGGTTAACTAGTGAGTTCTCCTTGCTAGACCATAAAAAAGGAGATTCAGTCCCATACCCCTTACAGCAACGGAGAAAAATGCTCTTCACGTTTTAACCGACTTCAAACACGAGGAGGTTCTCAATTCGTGTGTATGTTTTTTTTGTATGTATGTTACGCTATATCTTCGCAGATTATGAACCGATTTTAATAATTATTTTTTTATTAAATAGGTTATACTTCAAGGGTGGCCCCATATAAATTTGGAGGAAAAATCCCCCGCCCCCCAAGGGTAGCAAATAAATAACTTCTTTTTTAGCAATTTGAAGTCGGTTTTTACTTGTTGTTAAAAGTTATAATTATTAGTACTACAGATTTTGTATGTGTATTGTTATTAATTAAGAAGTGCACGGCTTTCTTACATTTGTAATAAGATAGTTCATTAAGTCTGAATATTATAAATAAACGTCGTATTTCGTAATTTTATTCTGGGTTTTGTATAAGTGAATGCTTGATTAATATCCATAGATTACCTCCTAATAATATCCTACCTGATGTGTAGATGTGATAGAAAGATACTAAACACACAGTCCATGGTGGCCCATAGACATCTACATTTGTCCTCGATTAAGAATCAAAATGCAATACAATGTTTTTTGCTATTGCAACATCGAATGTATTTAAATGATTTGACAAGCTTATCACTTGAGTAATTACATACATTGTATGGGTTATCAGTCCGTAAAGATTAAATAAAAATAAACACTATTAGGGTTCAGTTGAAGTATCTGAAGAACACGTTATCAGGATCGAGTGGTTTTTGATTTTTTAAATCATGTTTAACGTGACAGAACCATGCATTAAATATATGTTTTTTTATATAGAAATAGGGTGGCAAACGAGCACACAGTCCACCTGATGGTAAGTGGTTGCTGTGGCCCATATACATCTACATCCATCCTCGTTTGCGAATCAAAATGTAGATGCGTTGTCACCCCTGAGGACTAAGATGGAATGCCTCTTTTCCAGTAAAAAGGGTCTCCGGTTCTCTACACTCACCATACGAAACACAGCAGCATTAAGCTGCTATTTTACGCTGGTATTCTGTGAGAGCGTGGTGCTTCCCCAGTCGAGTCGACCAATTCGTGTTACAACAAAAAAATAATATAGCTGCAGCGCGACTCTACCATGTAAATTGGAGCCCTTTAATTTACAATTTACGTTTTGCTAGATTTACGGCAAGCTAGACCTTGAGCTTCAACGGCTCAGCAAATTTCAACAAACATACGTGGTAGAGCCATGCTGCAGCTATATTAATAGTATAGTTGTAGCACGAATGGGTCGGCTCGACCGGGGAAAAAAGTGTAGAGAACCGGAGACCCTTTTTACTGGAAAAGAGGCATTTCATCTTATTCGTCAAGGCTGACAACGCATCTACATTTAGATTCGCAAACGAGGATGGATGTAGATATATATGGGCCACAGCAACCACTTACCATCAGGTGGACTGTGTGCTCGTTTGCCACCCTATTTCTATATAAAAAAAAAACATATATTGAATGCATGGTTCTGTCACGTTAAACATGATTTAAAAAATCAAAAACCACTCGATCCTGATAACGTGTTCTTCACATACTTCAACTGAACCCTAATCGTGTTTATTTTTATTTAATCTTTACGGACTAATAACCCATACAATGTATGTAATTACTCAAGTGATAAGCTTGTCCAATCATTAAAATACATTCGATGTTGCAATAGCAAAAAAACTTATTTTGACAATCGTAAAAGCATTAATCATCATCGTCATCATTACAGCCCTTCACAAGTCCACTGCTGAACATAGGCCTCCCCCAAGGAATGCCACAAAGCACGGTCCTGAGCCACCTGCATCCATCGACTTCCTGCATGTCTTACCAGGTCGTCACTACATCTAGTGGGGGGACGCCCTACACTTCGTCCGCTGGTACGAGGCCGCCACTCGAGAACCTTTTTTCCCCATCGTTTGTCGGTTCCTCGAGCTATATGGCCGGCCCATTGCCACTTCAGCTTACTAATCCGTTGGGCTATGTCGGTCACTCTGGTTCTACTGCGGATATCCTCATTAAAATGCAAAAAATAGCATAAAATAAAATCGCTTATCCGCGTTTGTCTGTGCATTAGCTTAAAACGTGAAACTTTACAGATTTTGATGTAGTTATCACTAACATTTCAAGATTGTCTTTTTTAAGGAAGGTATCCGCGTGTATCTTAATGTCTTCCAGACCAAATTTTACTCACTGCGGCCAGTCCCAACGAAGACTAGCTATCTCACAAGACACTATTACAGTGCACGAGTGCGTAAGCACAGGTACATTCCCTATTAAAAGTTGAAGTAACAGCCTATATACGTCCCATTGCTGGGCACAAGTCTCCTCTCATTTCTGAGAGGGTTTTAGGGCAAGGAAATATCCGCCGCGCTGTCCCAATGCGTGTTCGCGAACTTCACATGTCTTCGAAATATTTTTTCTTATTTCTCAGACATGCAGGCTTCCTCACGATGTTTTCCTTCACCGCCGAGCATGTGATAAATCACCAATTAATATTGCAATTAACAATTTCATTGGTGCCGGCGGGGATCAAACCCGGGTTGCACGCGTACTGTGAAATTTACAACGCTACCCATCTAAGCTACCACGGCCCAATCCCCACTACATTCTCTATTTCCTCACTCTTATTGTCTGATAGGACGTTTAACAACACGAATGGAGAGAGGTCAGACGGAGCAACGGCTTGACGTGCTTATCCGGACACGGAGTGTACTTATTTAGTTACTAGCTGTTCCCTGCGACTTTGCCCGCGTGACCCTCTTTTTCTAAAATAAAAGTAGCCTAAGTTACTCCTTGTGACATCAGCTATATGCCAGTGAAAGTCCTGTCAAAATCGGTCCAGCCGTTTCGGGGATTAGCCGGAACAAACAGACAAGCAGACGGACAGACAGACAGACAGGCAGACAAAAACTTAAAAAATTGTATTTTTGTTATTAGTACCGTATATAATTTCATATGCTTTTAGTAAAACGCTGTAATTTTGACATTACAAACTGAAACTTCAATTTTATTTATTTGTATAGATATAGAAATAGATGTGCGTTATGCAACAACATTATTCTTTCTTCTTCTTTCTTTCTTTCTATCTTATGCTTTTCTGACGATAATAGTTACCTATTACACGTTTTAAAACATTTTGACAAAATACTTAAAACCATGGAAAACCTAAAACAAGATGCACCGGCGTAGATGAAGGATTGATACCAAGTCTTTGTGCACCAGGGACGCCCACGAATTACTACTAGGGTTGCCAGGCATCCGGATAAAGCCGGACATAGACTTTTTATATACGTAACCCACCAAATTAGACGGCGTCCGGCGGCTCCGGCCTGTCAGGCTGTTGCCATGCTGTTTACTACACTAGCTCGCGTGAGCATGGCTCTTTTTATAGAATGGGAGGTAACAAACGAGCACACAGCCCAACTGATAGTAAGTGGATGCTGAGATCCATAGACATCTATATTTATCATCGATTAAGAATCAAAATGCAGATGCGATGTCACCCGTGAGGACTAACATAGAATGCCCTGTTTCCAGTAAAAAGGGTATCCGGTTCTCTATGCTCACCATACGAAACACAGCAGCATTAAGCTGCTATTTTACGCTGGTATTCTGTGAAAGCGTGCTGCTTCCCCAGTGCTAAAACCATAATATGCTGCAATGCAGTGCAGCAATGCATGCAGTGGCTCTATCACCTAAAAAGGCATAACGCAATTTTGTTTTGAATTTCATAATAAAGAAGACTGATTTGTTAAACTTTGTTGTTACTGCATTAGACGTTCAGACAATTTGATATTAAAGGATCTAAAACGCCTGGATTTACATATTTTTTTATAGATAAGGTTAACAAATGGGCACACAGTCCACCTGATGGTATGTGGATGCTGTGGCCCATAGACATCTACATCTATCTTCGTTTGCGAATTAAAATGTAGGTGCGTTGAGTGAGGACTAAGACGGAATGCCTCGTTTCCAGGAAAAAGGGTCCCCGGTTCTCTACACTCATCATACCAAACACAGCAGCGTTAAGCTGCTATTTTAGGCTGGTATTCTGTAAGAGCGTGTAAGAGCGTCGAGCCGACCCATTCGTGCTACGACTATACTACTAATATAGCTGCAGCATGGCTCTACCAAACAATAATGCTTATCATTTTTAAACTAAAGCACAAAATTCTTAATAAGTCGAGGTGTCCGGATTTTCTACCCAATTTTACACAAAAGTCCAGCTGGTCTGTTTTTGGTTTTAGGACGTAGCAATCCAACGTACGACATCGAACAGCGAGATGGACGAAGTATGAAATGACGTCACATGATGCCGAGCAATTTTAATATGCGTTTTTGGAAACTGCTGTACTAAAATCACTATAACTTCGTCATTTGTGTGTGAGATATTTTTTCACTGCAGGTAATAGTGTAATAATTTCTGAATTGTTACATATTTGTGACCTTCGTTACATGTGTGTGTACATACACATTAAAAAGTTAAAAAAAAACGTGCAAAACTAAAGAGCACAGCAATGAGGCATTGTGTATGGTACATACATTCACTAGCAACCTAAAAACTTTCATTTAAAACACAACTTTTCAAAAGATTACTCGATCCAACTAGCGACATCTAGTGAACAAAAGATCATTAACCTCCATCGCGTGCACTATCACAAATCCCGACACCACAACTTCCAATGGTAGTATTACTCTTTGAACAAAGTTAGGCATCTTTTTCACGCGGATCGATTTGGATTGATTAGCTAATGAATTTTGACATTTTTATTGTACAAACGAGTCGGTGTGGCAACACAAAAATATAAAGCCGAACGTCCACCGCGAAGTAAACTATGTGAAAACTAGGCTCAGTGAACTAAGTTAAGCTATCCTGGAAAATCGTTCCACCGAATAATTTAAAATTAAAACATTTTGTACAACCGACTTCAATATAAATTATTAAGAATAACACAAAAACTATTGGTCAGACCTTGATCAAATTTATATGGGACCACATGTGAAGCACCAGCTTTCAAATAAAAAAAGAATCATGGAAATTGGTTCACCCAGTAAAAAGTTATGAGGTAACACACATAAAAAAACATACAGTCGAATTGAGTACCGTCTCCTTTTTGAAGTCGGTAGAAAATAAGTTTGCCAGTTTGTGCTGGTGTGTTGAGTTGCAATCGGATGTGATGGAAGAACAAGAGAAGAGCTACGACAAGAATTGAAGAGAATACATTCGACATAGGATAATTTAAAATTAAAAATTTTGTACAGCCGACTTCAATATAAGTTATTAAGAATAACTCAAAAACCATTGGTCTGACCTTGATCAAATTCATATGGTACCACACGAGAAGTTCCAGCTTTCAAATAAAAAAAGAATCATCGAAATCGGTTCACCCAGTAAAAAGTTATGAGGTAACACACATAAAAAAACATACAGTCGAATTAAGTATCTCCTCCTTTTTGGAAGTCGGCAGAAAAGAAGATTAAAGAAAAAACGCAAAAACAGACACTGGATAAACAAGCACATCCAATATTGGATTTACTGTCTGCGCATAATCACACACTAAACAAAACAAACAACATACGTGAGTGTCGTGGAACACTCGGTTGGAACGAAGTACATTTCGTAGTACTCGTATATTATTATTGATGATAAACGAATTATATCATTGATTTACAAATACAAATAAATGAATCACTAGCGTCTATTAAAATGAAGCGTCATTTAAAATAAAATAATATTTCTTTCATGGCAAGATAAGAAAAAGTGCGAGGGAGATGGATATTATTCCGTCCCGCTTCCTTATAGCAGCCAAGGCCGTCTATACTACGTCAGTAGAGGTCAACTTCGTTCAAACAATACTAAACGAAAGGCGCCAGAGGGTGCAAGGGCGTGAGAGACGCTTATCTTAGTGCGGGTAGTTTCGGATCGACCTATACAACTAAGTTAGTTTGACTATTTTACCCAGCTTAGCTGGCATAGTTTGCGGTGGACGCACATGTATGGAAAACTGGCTCAGCTATGCGAGCTAAGATAAAATAAGTTAGTTTCATTGAGTTATATGTACTACGTACTAAAGAAGCCATTCTAAACAAAAAATGTGCACTACTCTATGTCTTCGTGCATGCGCGGGAGATAGTAAAGTCGCGCATGCGCATTTGATTTAGGCGCGTTGCTCCTGCGCGGTCAGTTTATATAAAGAAATATATTTTTTCATGATTTTTTCTTTTGCAATATTACGATATTACCTATTTATTCACTTGAACAACAAATAATTTTACTTACTTGACTACTGAATTGTTATTTACGTCCAGGTTTAAACTTTAATTTGAAATCGTGTATTATTAGCGCCGCTCCACACTGCATAAATATTGAAACCACAGACTAACTAGTAGATTGAAACCACACTAAATGACACACTGTACGGATTGCAGTACAGTTCAGTTGAACATAATGTATGTTCAGAATGCGCGATCTAGTACGTAGTACATAAATATCGATGGTTAGTTTAGTTTGCGGTGGACGTTCGGCTTAACGTTCGGCTATCAGATAAGTATGCGATAAATTGATAACGATAGTTACAATGTATTTAATTGCTATGATACTGCTGTGCTAATAATTACAATGTAACTGCGAATTAGAACCGCCATTCTTGATTTCATTATGATAATATATGGTATTGTCTTTGTATTTTAACAGAATAAAGTTCATAAGGAGTCAATTTACTTACGTTGAAATCGGTCGAGTTTTCATCGAGTTGCCGTTCTTAAAATACAAATCAGTGAACAGATCTAAGCAGAAAGCAAAGTAGTTCAGATAGATTTGAATAAGGTTTTAGGAGTAGGAAGTAATATTATGAAAGTGTAAGTGAAATACACGGAAGGAACAATCCCAAGTGAGGTACTGAAACCTAAAGGACACTTCCTACGTGCGGTGAAACTTTGGAAATCTATGAGTGGGAAAGACCGTTAAATTGTATCCTGTATGATGAATTTGATTCACCATCGACACGATAGACAAAAGAAGATAAGGAAAATAATTCTAATAAGATAAACAAAGCGATATTTGAGTTTGAAAGTAAACGACGAATGGAAAAGTCGAGTTGGTAAGGGATTGAGGTTCAGCAATTAATTACGGGACACAATGAACAAGTTGGGAGAGCTACGAGCTCTGTTCCAAGAGAAACTGAAAAACGGCATTCCACACCCTCCAGGGAGATTCGATCAGAGAGATTTGGAAAGGCTGAAAGATAATAAATATCTGACAAGGGTATTACAACATTGTCTAGGTAAGACGGATGCAGCAGTTAATATGCTTTGGTCGATCATGATCTGGCGTTGTAATGTCAACGCTTGGGACATCAGAGATACGGTAAGAATGGATTATGTGAAAGAAGGGTTGTTTTTCCCTCGTGGAAGAGACGTCGACGGTTGCCTTCTGTTTATTATTAAGTGGAAATTGTATAACAAAGGTCAGAAAAATGTAGAAGATCTAAAGAAGGTAGTTGTGTACTGGTTGGAAAGACTGGAGAAAGAGGAAGATGGGAGACCTATAACACTGTTTTTTGACATGGACGGTTGCGGAATGAACAACATAGAAGTAGAGATTGTGGCTTACATGATATCTTTATTAAAGAGTTACTATCCAAATTTTATAAATATCATTATAATTTATCAAATGCCGTGGATAATGTCAGCGGGGTTCAGGATAATCAAAGGTCTTCTGCCGGCGAGAGGTATTGAAAGACTCAGAGTTGTTAATAAAGACCAACTCACAGAGTTCGTGCATCCGAAACAAGCGCTAAAATGTTGGGGTGGAAGTGATGATTACGTTTTCCAATTCGTTCCTGAAAAAGCCAATAACATACCTAAAAAGGTTACTTTTGATGATGAAGCTAATGAAAAAAACAATGGAGAATACTTGCAGATAGTTCCAAACGATTTTATGACATTCAAAACCGATAAAAATGACGTTAAATCAGAACTCACCGTAACAAATACAGGCAATGGACATTTAGCGTTTAAGATCCGTACAACTGGACCAGAAAAATTCAGAGTTAAGCCCAGCGCTGGTGTTTTAGCACCGAATTCATCGCAAACAGTTACAGTTACCGTTTTGCCAGGGTTTGATCCTAATGTTATTGTTAATGAAAGATTTCTAATCGCTTCGATTATAATCCAAGAAGATAAAATCTCACAGAAACAAGTGGGAGAACTTTGGCGAAATCCAAGCATTGAAGTAAATGAAAGAAAATTAAAATGTAAACTTTTAGAAAGTGAAGATGCTGGGCAAAGATCTTCACTGATGGAGTCTATAGATAACTTTCAAGAGAAGTATGAAGCTTTGTGGAGAAGTGTTAATATTTTGAAACTATTTGAGTTGTTAACACTGTTCTTTAATTTGGTTCTGGTACTATTTGGATATTTGATGTATAGACGGACAAATCAGACGTATTGTGAAGTATAAAAACGATTATAATCAGGAATATAAATACATATTAAATATCAAAACTGTTGTTTATTAATGAATATATTATAATTCCTAATAATATATACAATATTAAGAAACTACGATTAAAAAACTGAAACTAATAACTTATTATCGTACAGTCCTACTCCCCGCGATATTGTGCCAAGAACGCTGGCTGCGTTTCCTCGCTGAAGGGCTATACTTAGCCTTTGAGCGAGACAAGAATCAGCCCTCTTATCACCAGCAGCGACAAACAGTCGTGGATACAGTTTCTTCAGCGCACGTGGACCCCACGGACCGATAGTTTCTACAGCAAATGGCACAAATATGTAGTCATCTCTCAGAGACTCATATTTGCGCCACTTACTCAGTTCGGCTGCCTGTGATGCCGCCCCGATTTATTTTGTATGTTGAAACAATATTGTTTTTTTTTTAATACAATAAGGGTGACAAACGAGCACACAGTCCACCTGATGGTAAGTGGTTGCTGTGGCCCATAGACATTTATATCTATCTTCGTTTGTGAATTAAAATGCAGATGCGGTGTCAGCCGTGAGGACTAAGATGGAATGCCTCTTTTCTGGTAAAAAGGGTCTCCGGTTCTCTACACTCACCATACGAAACACAGCAACATTAAGCTGCTATTTTACGCTGGTATTCTGTGTACGTGCTACAAATATATTACTAATATAGCTGCAGCATGGCTCTACCACGTAAAAAATATCATGGTGAAAGTGTAACTATCTACCACGTGGTGTGACCACTTCTCAAAAGTACGTCTGAGAATACTTAATACCTCCTACACCATATTTAATCAAAACTGACAAAACATGTATTTTTAAAGTACATATTAATGAATGGTTCCATATTATATTGGAGCCAGTCACGTATTATGTAAGCTAGTGTACTAATTAAGTTTAAAAGGAAAGAAGATTAACTTGAAAAAAAAAACAAGACTTAGGTATATTAGATTAAATTTATGAGTACTAGCTTAGGAGTTCGATTGTCTTAATTATAGCAACAGTGGCGTAGCAAAGGGGGTCGGGGGGCCTCCCTTCGCGTTACCCAAATGTTTCAAGTAACAGGGACTGACGGATGCACTGTTAATGTCCTCCAGACCGAACTTCAGTTACGGTATGCCTCAACGGAGACTAGCCATCTGCGTAGTACAGGTATACAGTGCCCAAGTGTATGCGCAAGCACAGGTGCACTCTCTATTGCCTCACTCTCATAGTCCGATGGGACGGTAAGCCGACACCACCGGAGAGATCAGTGAATTTCTTGATGAAAAAGCTCAATAGCGGATTTTTTCGAACCCGGGAGCTATGATCAGCAGTCTCACTACTACAACCACTACACCAACGAGGCAGTTGGATGCACTATTATCGGTGACACAGCATTACAATACACCGTGTCACGCCTTTAATCCCCGAAAAATTGTGAAGGAAGCCCCATAACCTACACAATCACAAACCCAATATCCCATTGGTCGCTTTTTAAGACATGCTAGGCAAGTATCACAGTTGGCACATTCTTTTGGAACGAAGGGAGGAGGCGACAAAAAAAGTAAGATTTTTTCGTCACTAAGTAACCCTTGCGTCGTAGTGTATTTTATTTTAAATGACGCTTCATTTTAATAGACGCTAGTATTTTTTAATCAATAATATAATATGTTTATCAATAATAAGGAACTTCGTTCCGACCGAGTGTTCCACGACACTCACTCATGTTTTTTTTTGTTATAATATTCCACATAAAACACTGTGGACAACTTTACTGTATATTCCAAATATTTTAGATTAAATAAAAATTATATAATTGCATTATTGTATGTCATTTTGACATTTTGATCGTGGTGGAGCCATGCTGCAGCTATATTAGTAGTATAGTTGTAGCACGAATGGGTCGGCTCGCCCGGGGAAGGACCACGCTCTCACAGAATACCAGCGTAAAATTGCAGCTTAACGCTGCTGTGTTTCGTATGGTGAGTGTAGAGAACCGGAGACCCTTTTTACTGGAAAAGAGGCATTCCATCTTAGTCCTCACGGGTGACGACGCATCTGCATTTTGATTACCAGGTCCAATTGAGTTTTTAAACCATTTAGGGACACAATCAAACTCACACATAATAATTAAAAATTTTGTACTACCGACTTCAATATAAATTATCTATACAAATAAATAAAATTGAAGTGTCTGTTTGTAGTGTCAAAAATTACGGCTTTTTACTATATGCATATGAAAGTATATACGATACTTATAACAAAAAAAACGATTTTTAAAATTTTTGTATGTCTGTCTGTCTGTTTGTTCCGGCTAATCTCTGAAACGGCTTGACCTATTTTGACGGGACTTTCACTAGCAGGTAGCTGATGTCATAAGGAGTAACTTAGGCTACTTTTATTTTAGAAAAAGAATTAGGGTTCCGCGCAAAAAAATTAAAATCCCAAATAACACGCGGGCGAAGTCGCGAGGAACAGCTAGTTAGGAATAATTCAAAAACTCTTGGTTAGACCATGATCAAATTTATATGGGACCACACGAGAATCACCAGCTTTCAAATAAAAAAAATCGGATTACCCAGAAAAAACTTATGAGGAAACACATATAAAAAATATATATAAAATATACGTGGTAGAGCCATGCTGCAACTATATTATGGTTGTAGCACGAATGGGTCGGCTCGACCGGGGAAGGACCACGCTCTCACAGAATATCAGCGTAAAATAGCAGCTTAACGCTGCTGTGTTTCGTATGGTGAGTGAAATGTGAGTAGAGAACCGGAGACCCTTTTTACTGGAAACGAGGCATTCCATCTTAGTCCTCACGAGTGACAACGCATCTGCATTTTGATTTTTAATCGAAGACAGATGTAGATGTCTATGGGCCACAGCAACCACTTACCATCAGGTGGACTGTATGCTCGTTTGTCACCCTTATCCTATAAAAAAAACATATAGTCGAATTGAGTACCCCCTCCTTTTTGAAGTCGGTAGAAATTTCATCAAAATCGGTCGAGCCATTACAGAGTTTTAGAGAGACTAACGGACAGCAATTGATTTTTATGTATAGAGATTAGGAATCAAAATGCAAATGCGTTGTCAGCCGTGAGGACTAAGATGGAATGCCTCGTTTCCAGTAAAAAGGGGCCTCCGGTTCTCTACACTCACCATACGTAACACAGCGGCATTAAGCTGCTATTATACGCTGGTATTTTGTGATAGCGTCGTCCTACCTCGGTTGAGCCGTCGTCCCATTCGTGGCACAACCGTATTATATAGCTGCGGCGTGTCTCTACATGGTACAACAATAACATTACAATGTACTTAGTAGTAAGTTATGACGAAGCAAATTTATCGTAGCTAGTAAAGAAATTGTTACATTTTCACGCCTAAACTGTTAAGATATAATAATTAATTAATACTTTCATTTTATTATAAGCAAAATTCCTTACTCCAACCAACGATTCATGCTATTCAAAAAAGAAAGGCGCACGAAAAGAAATTATTACTATATTATCAATACATATAATTTGTTTATATGTATTGATATGTTAAACAAAACAAAGTTTAAATTAACCAATAACCGTTATAATTAAAAATCAATTAATTAATATCCACATAATAGGTAAGTATTAACATTAATCTATTTTTGGGTCACCGTGATTAGAACAGTTAGAATCATACAATCATTAATTACTAAAAAAAAAACAAGCACGTACTTATTCCACTGAACTAAAAGCCCCTCAATATATCAAATAACAGATATGTAACCTTTATAAAAAGAACTCTGTGCAATACGTTGTAACAAAGGAAATTATTAAATCGATAAACAAACATAGGTTATAAAAATCCACTTACTTTCGTCCTGAGAATTTCATTTTAACTTTATATGCCATCCCGCGTGAATAGTAAAAAATACAATGATACAGAGCAATAATACCAAACGAGCTTTAAAAATCGTTATAACGTTTATTCGTTTTTTTTTTTAACTTAACTGGCTTTACGGCTCGTTTTATTAGATAAAGAGTTCGGCAAAGAGTAAAGTAGGTAATATTACAAGTACAAGAGTGCTATCACTATTAACTATTAAAAAAAGAAGAGTAAGGTTCTGTGCTAACCCTTGAGCATATACGTCCTCAACACAATTGAAGGACTCTACAGGCTCAGTCACAGTCACGTATGTGAATATTCTGATAGATTTCACTCTTATGTAAGTGCTTATCTCTTTAGGAACCAAACGTCCGAAATGGAACACACGTGTTGTGATATGATCTGTGATGACTTCTTTATGTCATCTCATATCGATAGAACTTAAGATTTTCATTTTACATGGCCCAGCAGATTATCCTCTCTATGGAAAGGTAATCTTAAGATAACTGAGGCGTAAGGGCACGGATACAAGGGATGATTTGCCTGCACAGACATCTAGAAATTATTGTGCACTAGCGATCCGCCCGGGCTCCGCACAGGTGATATCTGAATCCCGACAACAGCACCACCTATCGCGTGCAATTGTAAATCGAAACCATTATCGAATCAACTTAATCACACACACAAAATTTTATCAAAATCGATCCTGTCGTTTAAGGGAAGTTAAGTCACATACACACAGACAGAAGAATTATATTATATTTAATATGCATATTATAAATATGATACGGATCAAAATCCGTTGTTGCTTAGTTTAAAGATCTAAGCGTACAGACGGCGGGAAGCGACTTTGTTTACTATGTAGAAGAAAAGTACAGGTCGTTTCATATTATGATGCTAACCTCATTGCAGGTGCAAATTTTTTTATGATATTATCAAACTTCAGAATTGATAGATTTTTTTTATATAGGATAAGGGTGGACAAACGAGCACACAGTCCACCTGATGGTAAGTGGTTGCTGCGGCCAATAGACATCTACATCTATCCTCTATTACAAATTAAAATGCAGATGCGTTGTCACTCGTGAGGACTAAGATGGAATGCCTCATTTCCAGTAAAAAGGGTATCCGGTTCTTTACACTCAACATACGAAACACAGCAGCGTTGAGCTGCTATTTTACGCTGGTATTCTGCGAGAGCGTCGCCCTTCCCCGGTCGAGTCAACCCATTCATGCTACAACTATACTACTAATATAGCTGCAGCATGGCTCTACTACGTACTAATTGCTTAATTGCTACAAAATATTTGAAAAATAACTACAATACATACTCTTAACTAATTACATAAATACATCCCACTTATGTAATACAATTAATTTTCGTTTTGGCAAGAAGGAAGGAATAAAGTGCTACTGTTTAATTTACCAATTGCATCAATTAGCACGATTAATATTCCCCTTGCTAATAAAGCTATTTTTGAACGTTTTTGTTATACGCTAATCACTATAATTTCCTCATCCTGATGCTTTTATACAATTGCAGGTGTTGCCATAATATTACATTTCTTACATTACAAATAACTTTCTATTAACCCATGTAACTTGTATATAAGAATTTTTTAAAATCACATTTGTGTACCTATTTGAAAAATATATTTATTCGTTATTGTATACTCCTGTAGCTCTTTTAGATAAATGATATACACTAAAATCTACTGTACAAGATATATTAAAACTAGTACAACGGTTGTCTTTAAAACTACGAAGTACAAAAATGAATGAATGTGATGTGAGAGCACTTGTGGCTGGCTCACTGATCTGTCACCCGTGACGACCATAAACTTTATAATTTGTGGTGACGACTGGTCCGAAAGCGACCGATCGACAAGTCGTGATATCTCCGCCCCTCCAATGTTGAGTTGAGTTGAAAGATCACAACCGCAATTTCGATTGGTTCCGTCAAACAAATCATCAAACGCCTGTTATTTCCAATATAGTTTTAAAATAAGTGATTATTATTTAATAATTTATGGTAGATCAAATAAAAAATTATCACTTTGTAATTTTTTGTAATGTAACTTTTGAAATGTTTCAAAGCACACAGTTTTATATGCGGTCATTTGGAATGCGCCTCCGAAATTTGAAATCTAAAATATAATGTACCTATATGTTGATAGGATAGAGCGCATACAAAAAATATTTTTGCATTTTCTTCAAATTTTTAATCAAAAGTATGTACCTAGCTCCTCACTTCGATGTAAAAAAAATCACATTTATGTACCCAGAGGGGTAGGCAGAGACTATGGACTTCCATTTGGCATGATCCTGACACACCTGTCTCGCTTCCTCCACATCCATGCTCCTCGGTTAAAGGTACTCTTGATTTGGCCCATTTTCAAAATATCGCCAATTTGGTCGATAAACTTTCGCCTAGGGCGTCCCTTCCCGAAATTTATATGAGTGAAGAAATATTGCAATAATGTTGATTGTCCTGAACTACAGGGTAAAATAGGTCTACATACTTCATTGTCTGGTTTACGGAAGCTTACACTTTTATCTGTACCATACGTAAAAAATAATTACAGACAAAATTCTACATCTACATAATCATAACGTAGATATTGATTTGTTTTTTTCCAGCGTTTTCCAACTTAGACGTTCACTTTCTAATAACTTCTTTTCTTGTAGATAGTGTACTGTTTATTTAAGTGTACTGTATTCAAATCAAATCAAATCAAATCATTTATTTGCAATCCAAGTGTACATAATTGGTCTTAAATTAAAAATGTGCTTACAACTTAGACGCCCTTTTCAGGCACTGCAAATTTGACAAGGGCACTGCTTATATACTATTAAAATACATAAAATTAACATACGTAAAATTTCCCCTATATATCTCTTTTGATATACTCTTTCTTGTTCTATGAAGTATACTATAAGTGAAAACTTGTAAATGGCTTTTAGTTTTGTTATAATCATATTATTTTTGTAAATTAGCTATAAGTTTTTCAAGCAAATAAAAATAAAATAAAACACGCTAAAGTAACTTTCAATCAAGTCACTCTGGCAGCACTGCCTATTTCAGTATCAGTAGGTAGTGGCCTAAAGGTCTAGATACCAGGCCATAAACTCCAAAAAAAAAAATCAGTAGGTAGTTTTTTTTCCTTGTTACTTGTCACCTTGTCAGCTGTTGTCAGCAGATCAGTAGTTGACATTTCCTGTATATTTATACTATTTGGTTGACATTTACGAATGTCTTCTCTTTTTCTAAAGTACCTACACATAATTGTTTTATTTAAAATTCCTTTCGCAAAATAATTCATTTGTAACATTTCCTATAGATCAGTGATAAATATTTCAAAAAGGTTTTAATATGGCTACGCCTTCTGACGTGAAGTCTTTGTTCGAGGCAAAATTGAAGGAATCGCCTAACCACGGATTTCACCCTTTGGACTTAGATAGAATTAAGGACGATAAATACATCAGACGTGTGTTAAAACATGTTGAAAACGATGCTAAACAGGCAGCGGATATGTTGTGGGATATATTCACATGGAGAAAGTCCGTTAACGCGAATGATATTAATGAAACGAACATTCGGATGGATTATGTTAAAGAAGGGATATTCTTCCCCCGTGGCCGAGACGTTGATGGCTGTTTACTATTGATAATTAAATCAAAAATGCACGTCAAAGGTCAGAGGGACTTTGAGGAACTTAAAAAGGCCATTATTTACTGGTTCGATCGTATAGAAAGAGAGGAAAACGGCAATAAAATAACTTTATTCTTCGATCTCGACGGTTGCGGTCTCAGTAATATGGACATGGAGCTAATCAACTACTTAATATCACTATTTAAAAGTTACTATCCTTATTTTCTAAACTATATAATCATTTATCAAATGCCATGGGTGATGTCTGCTGCATTCAAAGTGATAAAGTCTTTGCTGCCAGCAAAAGGTGTAGAGAAAATGAAGTTTGTTTCCAAAGACACACTGAAGGAGTTTGTTGCGCCAGAACAAGCATTGACATGCTGGGGAGGTAAGGATAACTACATATTTGAGTTTGTACCTGAAAATAGAAGCAATTTAGAGCCTGCGCTCAAAAAGGTTACTTTTGCCGAGCAAGGAGATAATCAGCACTCCCTTGGAGAAATGCTTCGCATCACACCCAATGATACAATAGTTTTTAAAGCAGAAAATGATGATATATCTGGCCAGTTTACGATAACAAATATGGATGAAAGTGTAGTATCATTTAAGATTCGTACAACTTCACCAGAAAAGTTTCGGGTTCGTCCCAGCAGTGGGGTCTTACCTAGTGGAGTGTCCCAAACAATTTTGATTGTCGTTCAACCAGGTTTCCACTTACGCACAGTTACCAAAGACCGATTCCTAGTTATGTCCGTACAGATACCTAAGGATGATATATCACAAAAAGAGCTCTCTGATATCTGGCAGAATTCTTCCGGGAGTAAAGTGGACGAGTATAGATTGAAGTGCCACTTCCCTGAGAAAAGCTTACCGAAAAATGGCAACTTAGCTGATAAGAGTCCGGAGAAGTCCGATTCTGTTACAAATGCATTGAACAACTTGCAGATGAATTATGAGATTTTACACAAGCAAGTAAACAAGCTCAAGATATACCAATTCATGACCTTAATACTGACGGCTATTGCGGTATTACTGGGTTACTTAGTCTACAAGAACACAAATGAGTACGAGAAGTACTGTGAGAGAATCTAGCCCTTAAATCTTGTGGTTGGTGATACCACAGTAGATATAAACTCTTTGTTAGACAGTTTGGTAATCATTATCCTCATAACAAATACATTGATGTATGTTAAATATTGTCAGTTGATGCGTCAAGTTGAAGTGCTACACAACGTAAAGTAGATGCAATTAATGAAGTGGTAATTACGTGGGACACCTTAGAATATAATAATTTTTTATATTTGTTAATACAAAATGTTATGCAAAATTGTGTTGATTAGGCCTACTATAATATGGTAGAGACACTGCAGCTATATTGTGGTTACAGTAAGGACGTGTTTGTTCAACCGGGAAGCACCACTTTTGCACTAAATACCAGCGTAATGCTGCCTTATTTTGTATAGGAACCCTTTATACTAGTTTTAAGGTATTCTATCTTAGTTCTTAAGAGTGACTATGCATCTACATTTTGATTCTTAATTAAAGATAAAGGTAGATGTCTATGGGCCACAGCATTCACTATCATCAGGTGGAATGAGCGCTCGTTTGTCACCCTTATTCTAAAAAAAATTAAGATACAAAAATGGTTGACAACCCTATTCATAGGTTTGTGTGTAGTTAACACTCAAATTACAATGTTTGTAAGAAAAAAACAACCTAATCATTGCAAGTGCAGTGCTTTGTGCAAATTTTCACAACTGTAGAAGAGGTTTGTTTAAAAATAGAACACTTAATGTGCTTATGACAAATGTAAATTGTAATTTTGATGAAAATGCAGAAAAAATATTTTATTAAATATGCTATAGCAACTTTGTATATTAATGTAAATGATAATATATATAACAAATTGTAATAAATGAATATTGATTTAGAAATTGAAACACCTAGGGAATTAAAACAAAACATCACATCACAAAGATTAGGTAGGCAACTATGTAGACTAGTGTAAAATAAATGCCTATGTATTTATTTCAAATAATAGACTAAATAATTCTCTTAGAGAATAAAAAATCTGGAATAGATAATTTAAAATGGTCATTGAACGCAAATAAAACAAGGAAGTAAATGTAGAAGTTTGTACATGGTAGGGCCATGCTGCGTTTGGATTATTTTCGTAGCACGAATGAATCGGCTCGACCAGTGTAGGACCATGCTTTTACAAAATACCAGCGTAAAATAGCAACAACTTAATGCTTCTGTGTTTCGTATGGTGAGTGTAGAGAAGGGAAGTTAACAGTAGATCTCTAACTTTCAGGTGGACTGTGTGCTCATTTGTCAGACTTATACTATAAAAAAAGGTAGTACATAAAGCATTTTGAGCGCACAACATGGCACAACATTTCAAATAAATTTACACATTGAAAGTCCATCAATTAATTATCAGGTTATTATATTTTATTAGGACTAGGGACGCACAGTCAAAATTCGACCTTATTTCCCGACAGATTTTGGTTTTAATTGTCATATACATCATATAAGTTGCTTACGTTTACCATATTAAACGTATAATTATATGACGCCATTGTGCTCATGTAGTGATGGTGTAAGAATATCAACTACCTGCTATTTTCCCGTGGGTGTTGTAAAGATTCAACAGAGGGAAACAAACCAGGAGATGGGCAACAACTTCTTCCTAATAACATCTAAAAATAAAAAAAAACTGCGGTTGCCACCCTGCCTGCCAAGCGTGGCAACTATGGCAAATTTATTCAAACTGAACTTGTTAACTGCACATTTGGTAAGCCACACCTATAGATCAATTTACGTTGGTTCATTTTTTCAATCTAGGAATGCTTTCATGTTTTATTTGTGTTCACTCATAATAGTAGTCTATATTATTTACAAATTTTTTTATAAAAAAATGGAATATTTGTATTGTGTAGGCAATATACATATTAATGTAATTTTTTACCAATATTTAGGCTTTGTACTAGTTGGCTTAATGTCATAAAGGTGTTGTGTTAATTGGGTTTGGGATTTTCTGGATTATCACTTATCAGCAAGGCGCTCGTTTGCCCCCTCTCCTATTAAAAATCGGGGGTTGAGGCAGCGGCGGGGGCTGTAGAGGTAAGAGTGGTGGCCCTTTATTCCATAAAAAAAAAAGAAAAAAATTTGATCTACTAGGCATATGATACCTATATTCTTTGATTTTGTTTATCATCCAAGATATAGTGTGTAGCGTTTGAATTTAAGGGAAATTTAGATTTTATCCAATTGTATTGTCTTTGTTATTTTTTTTTTAATTTATATAATTGTTTGTTACCAGTTTTCTAAATTGTAAGGTCTTTTAAGTGTTGAAAATGTATAAATAAATAGTTGTTTTTGCTGGTAAATGGTAAAATGTTAAAAATAATTTTAATTCTTAAAATTATTTCACAAGGAAATTTAAATTTGTATTAATAGTCACAGACCAACAAAAAAGACAACTGAACACTGTGTACATCTCAAGTGATTAAAAAACCAAGTCAATTAAATTATAGTAGGAACACGCTCTCACGTACCTACACATATGCATCTAAAATCAACATGATTTTAAGTGCATATGTTTGCCTCCAGCTGTGAATTTTTACGGGCTGATATAGGAAGTAAAATTCTACGTGTGTGCATGTCAAGAAGTTGCAAGCATGTTTTTGGCATCATTCGAAATATAAGCAGCTGCTTCGCATTATATTCAATGTACGCAACTCCGTCTATTTTCTTTGTCGGTCTGTGTCATGAAGTCGTGAACATAAAAAAATATTACAAGGGAGAGGCAAAGGTCAAGGTGCCATGCAACCATTTCAATTCGGTAAAAATGATTCATGAAACCAAAGCATAAAACTGCGGCCAATGATAGAAAGGTCGCGGCAAAATCAAAGTGGGTTTTGGGAAAATTTACTATATATATAGCAAATTACATCTATGAGTAAGATAATGAAGTAGCAATGAAATGGAATCTTGTAACAGACTATAATTTGTTTTATTAAAATTTAGATAAAAAATTGTGTAACATTCCAAAAACAGCTGTAAAAGCATTTTTTTGCATTTCATTTACCTATAATGAGATTCTTTTGAATTTATTCGCTTGTGATAATAATGTATTGAAATGGTTTTTAATTTAGGTAGGGCGTTGTGATATTGTCAGTAACGAAATGTATTATCCGCCAAAATGTTACTACATATTAATATATCGTTATTTATACTTTTAAAGCATGTAAAGATTATTTGCAATAAAAATGCATAGTCTATATTGTATATTTTTATTTGGGAATATATCAAAGATATCTCACAGTATCTCTTACACATGTCCACTGCCGAACGTAGGCCTCCGCAGAAGGAATGCCTCTTTCGACTTCTTGCATGTCTTACTAGGTCACCTATACTTCCCTGCGAAGCTGCCACTCGAGAACCTTTCTTTACCTCCGATTGTCGGTTCTTCGAGTAACAGACCGATTATCATTACTTAAACCGTTAGGCTTTCTCGAATACTCTAGTTCTACAGCGGATGACGTCATTACTTACTCTACATAGTATATATAATTATATTCTCAGAAACACCGAACATAACCCACTCTATAGCTCAAATTGATTGGGAATGACCCGGCACATTCTGTTTCCGGCAGACAGATCTCCCTTCTTCAATACAAGCTGTATTGAAGCCGCCAAAATATATCTGATACATTCAATCAAATACATTTTTATTGCTGGCAAATATATTTCTTTCTTGACGTCCACATTACACGAATGAACCAACAACACACTGTTCGTTCGTTCGTAGTCGAGCTAAGTCCAAATACATTATTGATATTATGTGCCGTTTGAGACGCACCACTACTTATATGTCTTTGGAGACGCATAGTTTCCACTTTTTCACTGTATTACACGTGGTAGAGCCAAGCTGCACCTATATTGTGGCTGTAGTACGAATGGGTCGGCTCGACCGGGGAAGGACCACGCTCTCACAGAATACCAGCGTGAAATAGTAGCTTAATGCTGCTGTGTTTCGTATGGTGAGTGTAGAGAACCGGAGAGCCTTATTACTGGAAACACGGCATTCCATCTTAGTCTAGGTTCTCTACACTCACCATACAAAACACAGCTTATATACCCCCTGTGAAGCAATCTATAATTTATACGTGGTAGAGCCACGCTGCAGCTATATTAGTTGTAGCACGAATGGGTCGGCTTGACTAAGGTAGGACCACCCTCTCACAGAATACTAGCGTGAAATAGGAGCTTAACGCTGCTGTGTTTCGTATGGTGAGCGTAGAGAACCGGAGACCCTTTTTACTTGAGAGGTATTCCATCCTAGTCCTCAGGGGTGACAACGCATCTGCATTTTGATTTTTAATCGAGGATAAATGTCGATATCTATGGGCCATAGCATCCACTTACCATCAGGTGGACTGTGTGCTCGTTTGTCACCCCTATTCTATATAAAAAAATATGTATAATCTATATGGATATAGATATATAGATAATAATAATCTATGTAGAATTATATCATAACAACTGCCCAAACTCACTGTTCTACCCAAGGTTAGCTGGTAGAGAATGCCATAAAGCATTAAGCTCGCCTTTTGTACAAATATTTGGTGCAATAAAGAATAAATAAATAAATATTTTGATTAGCTATAATGAATTTAAAAATGAATGACCTAATAGTCTAATTAGGCACAGCTCATGGTCAATGCGAGTTAATTAAGTTTTTTAAACTCTAATATTATTGGCTTAGTTATAAATTACGTGTGGTAACTCTGCTCCTAAGGGACAAATAGTTTTTAATATAAAATTTAAAAGTAATTTGATATTATCTAGTCTCGAAGGAGATATAACCCAATAACCTTGTCACTGTCGCATGGAAGTCGAACGTTTCCGTTGGGAACGTCGTACGAAAGATGTCCAATTGTTTCTTTTCTATATAAGTATAATTAATATTTTTGTACAATCGACTTCAATATAAAATTTATATGGGACCACACGAGAAGAACCAGCTTTCAATTAAAAAAAAGAATCATCGAAATCGGTTCACCCAGAAAAAAGTTACGAAGACATCTACATCTGTCCTTGATTATGAATGAAAATTTAGATGTGTTGTCACTCCCGAGCATTAAAATAGAATGCCTCGTTTCCAGTAAAAGTATCTCTACTTTACGCTGGTATTCTGTAAGAGCATATTCCTACGCCGGTCGAGCCGACCCATTCAGATGTATAACCATAATATAGCTGCAGCGTGGCTCTACCACGTAAAACCCAAATCACTTACACTTAATTTAAAAAATCAATCATTATTAGTTTTCGAGAGTTATTTTCTAACATCAGCTAAATCTTTTCGCTTCTTTTATTTATGGCTTTTTTTTTTCTTCAAAATTGCCATTTTATAGAAAATAGACCGTAAGACATATCGTCGCTGTAGAATGAATACCTCGTATGTCAAAAAAGTATATTTTTTTATTTTTGTAAAAATCGAATGAAAACCACGTATTTTAAAATACAGCAAAATCGTGAACCGAATGTATGACTACTGGTGCCATCTATGGAGTTAAACGAAAACCTCTTATTTATTACTCGTCGGCCATCTTGTCTTCACAAGCGAGAAAACCTCGTAAAAAGTGCATGGTTTCGGCGTTACTCTCTATTTTTGAGATTTTTAGTGAAAAATTGTGGATAAATCGGTGTGAAGTAAGTTTATTTGTATTTTTTATATTTCCAAGTACACTCTGGTTGTATTTTTATAACTAAGGAGTTGTAGTTAAGCAATAAATATGCATTCGTTTATTTGACGCGATTACTGCAAGGAAAACCTCGTATGTCCACGGTAAAGCAAACCACTCAAGTGACATGCCAGGTTTTCACATAATATTTTAACGGCTTTAATTAATCAAACTATGCACTGCCAATAGTGAAAATAAAGTGGTATGTCTTAGTTTATTTTCAATAACGGCTGCTAAAGTGCAAATACTAGGTTAGTATTGATTTGACAGCCGTTTGTTAAAAGTTTCACGTGAAAACCTCGTATAGTTATAAATTCAAACAACACACGAGGTTTTCATGCCATAATTGTTACTGGTTTTGCAGCTTTTCTTTAAAATATAAGTTAGTAATTTTAATTTTTTTTCAGGCAAAATGTTAAATAGAGGTAGGAAATTAGTGGCAGCATGTCTAAAGAACCATTCGCCACCAGAAGACTTAATCACCCTTGCTGACTTAGAGGAATTACCGTCTTTATTACAATCAGATGTAAATATTGATAGACTTGCAGAATTTTCTGCAATAATGCCTTCAGAACAGACACTGGAAAATCCTCCATCTACAACAAATTCCAATCCTGAAAATGATTCCACAATCATACTATCCAAAATTCCACCATCGGCACCGTCTACTTCTGCTATAAATAATAATGAGAACACTGGAAATGATAATTTGCAGGTTTTAGAGGCTGAAGATAATACCGATTTCAGCAGCGATGACTCTGTGCAAGATCCAAATTTTCAGCCAAATGACAGTCCTGAAATTTTGTGGGAAATATCTAATCAACAACGAATAAGAGCTAAACGAGGACGAAGTGATAAATCTCAATGGATGTATGAGCAACAAAAAAACAAACGAATGAAAGGTGAGGGATATCTGGGAAGAAGAAAAAACGAAGAGGGAAAAATTGTGTACGACGTTCAAAAGGCGCCAAAAGAAATGAAACCTCGGTGTGAACATAACAAAAATGCCAAATTTTTTGAATGCTATAAACTCTCGGATGATTCAAGATTACAGATTTTTAAGCAGTTTTGGCTACTGAATAGGGAAGCAAAACGTTGTTTCGTCACTCATTTGTACTAAAAAGCGGTACTATGCAAAAAAAAAAAACGGAAACCTCTGACTCTCGTAGAAGTTATTCGTATAAATATAATTTTAAAGATAAAGGGGCAACATTTAGAGTCTGTAAAAATATGTTTTTAAACACAATAAATATCGGTGAATGGTCAGTTCACAACTGGGTTGAAAACATTGTTGCAACAAATACAGAGCCCGTTTCGGACAGAAACAACAACAGAGAGCAAGCAAATAATTTAAAAAAAGAGTTATTGAGAGAGTTCTTCCATTCCCTGCCGAAACTTGAGTCACATTATTGCAGAAAAAGTTCAACAAAACTCTACTTAGAACCCTATTGGCAATCCAAATCGGCATTTTTTAATGAATATTTAAAATATACAAAAGACCACAACAAAGCTCATCTCAGTGCTTCAAGGTATACATTTTGGGAAGTATTTGAGGGCCTAACTTTGTCCTTATTTCGTCCAAAAAAGTGTTAGTGATACGGATTATCAACTACATTTAATTCGGAAAGCGGAAGCACAAAGCCAGAAAGAGAATGACAAAGCAGAAAATGATACTTCTGTTGCTGTATTTACTATGGACTTGCAAGCTGTCTTGCTTTGTCCATATTTAAAAGCTTCAGCACTTTATTACAAGATGAAGCTCAAAGTGCATAATTTTACAATAAATAATTTGAAGACCAAAGAAGGATTTTGTTTCCTCTGGAATGAATCTGAATGCGGTTTAACAGCTGATGAGTTTTCAAGTATCATAGTTGATTTTATAATTAACTATGTTGATAGGACAATCATTCGCAAAGTGATTATATACAGTGATGGGTGCACGTACCAAAATAGAAATTCTATTCTCTCCAATGCACTTTTATTCGCAGCTGCTAAGACAGGTATGGTCAAAGTCCAAAAATACCTTGAGAAGGGTCACAACCAAATGGAATGTGATGCGATGCATTCCACAATTGAGAGGCAGATAAAAAATCGCGAGATTTATTCACCAGCACGGTATGTTGAAGCTTGTAAAACTGCCCGTAACAATCCTGGTCCCTACAATGTCGTCCAGTTAGACCACACAGCCTTCAAAAAATACTGCTCTCAACCGTATTTTTCATCGATAAGACCAGGTAATAAGGTTGGTGACCCACAAGTCACTGACATACGTTGCCTTAAATATGAACCAGAAGGATCCATAAAGTTCAAGCTAAGTTATTCGAAAGAATACCAATTACTACCAAGGAGAATACATCAAACAAATGCTAGTGATTGTTTTCAACAGTTGTATTATTCAAAGTTACCCATAACTACGGTAAAATACAACCATCTTCAGGAATTAAAACGTGTGATTCCTCGAGATTTACATCCATTTTATGATAGTTTGCCGCATTTATAATTAAATTTGTTTTTGCCTTCTTATAGGTATTGTTGTTTACTCTGGGTATGTGCTTGAAAACGAACTTCGGTTGAGTTATGATTAGGTTTAAAAGGAATTTTAGGATATCTAAGCTTACGGTTCGACTGATATCTGTGAAAGAAAATCTTTCTATCCTGATTTTTTACCAAAACTTGTCCAAATTGTATCCAATAAAACATTATATTTTTAGTCTACAGCAGTGTCTTTACTTTTGAAAACCTCGCAACTTAGCACATATTAAAACAGAAAACCTCTTATGTCAATTTAACTGGTATAACACAGTTAATTAAGAGATTGGTTAGTAATATAAAAAAGTCCTATTTGTCATTCAGTACATGAGACAAAAGCTAATAACAATATTTTAAACATTGACGAAATGAACAATTTTTTTCGTTTCCTGTAAAGTTTAGATCTCTGGACATACGAGGTTATCATTCTACAGCGACGATATGGTACATTATTATCTGTAAGTCATAGGTAGAACAAGTTATTTAAAAAAAAAACAGTAAAATTAGGCTCTAGAAACCTCAAAAGGTGGAGATATATTCAAAACTTGATTTCCGAAAATCGGATCTATTACCACAGAATAAATAATAGTTAAAAGAACTATTACTATAAATGCTAACCCCAAATGAGAAGTTAATAAAAACACAGTTTTTATACGTGGTAGAGCCATGCCGCAGCTATATTGGTAGTATAGTTGTAGCACGAGTGGGTCGGCTCAACCGGGGAAGAACCACGCTCTCACAGAATACCAGCGTAAAATTAGCTTAACGCTGCTGTGTTTCGTATGGTGAGTGTAGAGAACCGGAGACCTGTTTTACTGGAAAAGAGGCATTCCATCTATGTCCTCACTGGTGCCAACGCATCTGCATTTTGATTCGCAAACGAGGATAGATGTATATGTCTATGGGCCACAGCAACCACTTACCATCAGGTGAACTGTGTGCTCGTTTGTCACCCTATCCTATAAAAAAAAATATTTAATCAAATCTAAACGTATAAGCGAATCACTGACTCGCTCACTCATCACGAGATCTCCAAAACTATACGCCCGGTTGATTTTGAATTTAGAGTAAATACTCCTTTCTCGACGTAGACGCCCATCAAGAAATGATTTTGTAAAATTGAACCCCTGAGGGGATGAATAGGGTTGTTACAGCTAGTTACATATGCCTACCGACCATCACATACCTTCAGGAAGTCACCTACCATACAGCACCGCCTGGTAAGCAAATAACAGCAACATTAAAGAAGTGACTTAATTTACTTGCGTAACTTAAAAATATTCAACATAGTATAAAAAACCCAGGTTTTAATTGTTAATACTCCAGTAGTAATTAAGTTAGTTTGTAAGTTAGGTAGTCCATTATTCCTGTGTACTCACATTGTCGCAGTAGTTAACTTATGAGTTAGAAAATAAAAGTTATATAGGAAAAACTCTTCGTATTAATTTTTTTTATAGGAGAGAGGACAAACGAGCTTGCGGCTCACCTGATGGTAAGTGACTTAGTCGTAGACTATGTCCTTCCACTTCAACCCTCCCTAAGCTGCCGCAAACGTTAGCTATAGTTTGTATAATAATAAGTAATAAATAAAACCAACAAATTTATACAAGTAGTTTTTATTTCTTTACAAAGACAACGGACGACACCATGCTGCCAACTTTCCCGCCAAAAGTAAATTGCGGCGTCGGTATCACGCACTTCAGTTTCATTTTCTCAGAGAATTGTTTCAATAGTTCGTCGTCCGTCCAGTTGCACGACGTTATTACGAATAAACCTTAAAATAATTAATATCATTTTCATAAATTGAGTTTATAAGGGAATGTGTAAGTACACTAAGATAGTGTCGGTACACCCGGAGGCGCACTTATTATGTTGCTTTTATGTTATTATTTTTTACTGAGTTTGTTAAATAAATGTTTTTCCATTCTAAGAATAAAATAGAATACTATTTTATAGCTATTGTAATAAATTATGAATATAAATAATGAAAATATGTTAGGTAGCAAAGAACCTTTCACTACGGCGCTTCGTTTTAAAATGCCAAATTTACCTTCGGGTGTACGCCTGTACGGGTGACTTTTGATGTTGCGGCGGCGCCTTTGATAAAATGCGGCGTGCCAAGGCAGCGCAACACAAAAGCGACCGTATCTAAGCGAACACTACGTACTACAGACTATATCGCGTAGTGGTGTCATACAAAGGTTACCGTCAATTCAGATATTGAAGAGGCCCTATGTTCAGCAGTGGACTTAGCTTAACAGCAAGAGAGAATAAGGTTATGGAAGTTTCACGCAAGTGCCAAAGTTCACCTACAGTAGCCAAAGTCTTCTATGTATAATACTAGGCCGACAATTCAGAACAAAAACTGTGTCACAGTTGTGTATGCGCGGGCGCTGGCTTTGTTGGTAGCTGGCACGGTAAATATGCCATGCAGTTGTATTTTCGTTTGCGACAGTTACTGTTTTTAGGCAAATACGAAATAAAGAGCACACAGTCCACCTGATGGTAAGTGGTTGCTGCAGCCCATAGACATCTACATCTATCCTCTATTACAAATCAAAATGCAGATGCGTTGTCATCCGTGAGGACTAAGATGGAATGCCTCATTTCCAGTAAAAAGGGCCTCCGGCCACCTGCACTCACCAAGCGAAACGCAGAGGTAAACCTCTACTTCACGCTGGTATTCTGTGAGGTCGTGGTACCACCCCGGTTCGAGCCGGCCAATCCGTGCGACAGCAAAAGCCGCCACGTGGCTCTACCACTGTTAAAACTGCAATAAACATCAAATCACGTTGACAAAGCACGCACATAAATAATGACAGCGTTTTTTTTAGGCACATTAAAACAAGTGTGTAGTTTCTCCGCGTGGCTATTCAACCTATTTATGGTAACAGCTGTGTTTGGAAACTTTGAAAGTTGATTGTGGGTTATGTGGCCAGTGCTCGACCACAATGAAAGACCACAACACAGGTGGGCCTGGTGGTAAGTGGTGATGCAGCCCTTGATGGTAAATTGCACTGTCTTAGCGTAACCAAAGCCTATTCACTCTTGCTTTGAAGACGCCCAGATTGTATTCGGACAGAAAGATAGACGCCGGCAACTTATTCCACTCCTTTGCTGTACGCATTACAAAAGACGAAGCAAACCGTTTAGTTCTAATGCGTGGAATATCGACAGCAAAGAGGTGAAGACCCGCCGACCGCCAGGTTGTCCGATGGTGGAAAAGAGAGGGAGAAATTAAAGTGTGTAATTCCTGCTCACACTCATGGAAATGCATCCTATAGAATACTGTCAAATGCCTTTTGTACCCTGATGAGCAAGTTACATTTACGAGGCCAGTGGCTGAGTTGCAAATGATGGTTACATTAATGAACAGGTCATTAAAAGAAACGGGAAATGTGTGATGATTTTTTTATTTTTTTATACGTGGTAGAGCCATGCTGCATCTATATTATGGTTGTGACACGAATCAGTCGGCTCGACCGGGGAAGGACCACGCTCTCACAGAATACCAGCGTAAAATAGCAGCTTGACACTGCTGTGTTTCGTATGGTGGGTGTAGAGAACCGGAGACACTTTTTACTGGAAACGAGGCATTCCATCTTAGTCCGCACGGGTGACAACGCATCTGCATTTTGACTCTTAATCGAAGATAGATGTAGATGTCTATGGGCCACAACGACCACTTACCATCAGGTGGACTGTGTGCTCGTTTGTCACACTTATCCTATAAAAAAAAAAGTAAGACGAAAGTGACAATATGCGAAATAAGAATAGAAGGTTTGGTACATGTGGATGAGTTTCTGTATTTGGGCTGTGTATTAAACAGGGATGGTAGAAATGAAGAGAATATAGAACTACGAGTGAAAGCAGGACTTAGAGTTAATGGGAGCGCCATCTACTCTATTGTGCGAAGTCAGAATATGTCAAAATAGGCACGTACGGCAATTCAATATATAAATGCTGTAGAAATGCGGTCATTAAGGAGTATGTTAGGGCTGAATCTGAATGACAGGGAGAGACATTGTATGATAAGAGAAAAGTGTGGTTTGCATTTCGCAAGATGATGTTGTGACCAGGATTAAGAAAGGAATGCTTCGGCGGTTTGGTTATGAAGAAAGAATGATAAAGCAAATTTACGTTGCAGAAGTGTACGGCAGAGTCGGGAAGGGACGCCCTAGACCAAGGGTCGGCAACCTGCGGCTCTTTGGATGTGAAGCTGCGGCTCTTTAGTTTCATACGCAAATATTATTTATTTTATTAAAAAAAAAACATTTAAAAATCGATCCAAACTGAGCCATTTGGAGTTGATACTGGATCTCTAGAAATGCAATTGATCGATTTAAAAAGTAAAGCTTTGTGAAGTTAAAAATCTACAGAGTTGAAAATCAATTTGAAAGGGTTGGGAGGTCCAGAAATGAATGTGTAGGTAACGCAACAAGAAGAAGATATGGGGTAGTGGATATTCTTGACCGCCGTATAGTGGCGGTCAAGAATATCCACTACCCCATATCTTCCCGTGGATGTCGTAAAAGGCGACAAAGGGAAACAGGCAGGAGATGGTCAGCAGCATCTTCCTGATAATAGCCAAAATAACAATAAAAAATCTGCGGTTGCCAACCCGCTCGCCAAGCGTGGCAACTATGGCAATATACCCCCCATGAGCAATGACAATAATAAACGGCCCCCAGTCCCCGGCGGCCCCGCTATTCCTGGCTACGGTGGCGACCATGGTAACGGCGAGGCAGAGGGTGCTAACAATCTCCGGTGGAGGTTCGGTTGCCACCTAAGACGACTCAACCTGGCAACATACAACGCACGCACCCTGAGGACTGACGAGAAGATCGTGGAGCTGGAAGAAGAGATAGACAAGTTACGCTGGCATATTATAGGATTATCCGAAGTCCGAAGAGAGGGGGAGGACACGGTAATCCTCGAATCCGGCAACTTGCTCTATCACCGGGAGGGCGACCATCTGTCCCAAGGAGGTGTCGGATTTATCGTTCACAAGTCTCTCGTTAACAACGTTGTAAAGATTGGGAGTGTGTCGATGTACCTTATACTCAGAATCACCAAACGGTATTCGCTCAAGGTCATACAGGTATACGCACCAACCTCGGCACACCCCGATGAGGAGGTGGAGGAAATGTATGAGGATATCTCTAGAGCCGTGCATTCCTCCAAAACCCAATATACGGTGTTAATGGGAGACTTCAATGCAAAACTAGGCACAAGAGAGAATGGTAAGCTGAAAGTAGGGAAATTTGGAATAGGGCAACGGAACCCAAGGGACCAGCAGCTGGCCGACTTCATGGAGAAAGAAGGACTCTTTATGATGAACTCTTTTTTCCAGAAGCTGCCCCACAGGAAGTGGACCTGGTCGAGCCCCGACGGTTCGACAAAAAATGAGATTGACTTTATTATGACGACCAGACGACAACTGTTCAATGATGTCTCCGTGATCGCGAGGGTGAAAACTGGTAGCGATCACCGAATGGTTAGAGGCACACTGAACCTAAACGTTAAGTTGGAGAGGTCTCGTCTAATGAAGTCAACGCTCCGTCCCCCTCGTGCTTTGTTCCAAAGTCCCGAAACCTTTCAGCTCGAGTTACAAAACCGTTTTCAGTGCCTAGAAGACTGCAATGAAATGGACGATATGAATGACAAGCTCGTGGAAACTGTCCATGCGGTTGGAGCTAAGTTCTGCAAGACCCGCCGCAGAAGAACACAAAAACTCTCCGATCACACTCTTAATCTCTCTGTTAGACGGGAGATGAAGCTACATTCTTCAACAGATTTTACAGCATACAGGCAACTGAACAGACAGATCTGCAACTGTATGCGACGGGACTTACGCAACTTCAATACAGCTTGTATTGAAGAAGCAATCGAGCGGAACCAAGGCTCCAAAGTCTTTGCCAGAGAAAGACAACTGTCAAAGCTGAAGACCGAGTGTGGCAACATAGTTTCCGGGACACCTGATATTTTGAGTGAGATTGAGAGGTTCTATGGGCAGCTGTACACGTCATCGTTGGAGCCACACGCAAGTGTGAGTAGCGATCCAAGAGCGAGTCTTATCCGACACTATTCCGAAGATATCCCGGACGTCAGTCAGAGCGAGACTAGAATGGCTCTCCAGCGCCTTAAAAATGGCAGAGCCCTAGGTGAGGATGGAATTACGGCGGAGCTTTTGAAAGTGGGTGGAAAACCGGTACTTGAATTCCTTCAGAAGCTCTTTAATTCCGTCCTCCATGGTGGCACTACTCCGGAGGCGTGGAGCAGAAGTGGGGTGGACTTGTTCTTCAAGAAAGGCGACAGTGCTCTCTTGAAGAACTACAGATCGACTTCCCTTCTGAGCCGCGTCTACGTGCTGTTTTCGAGAGTCATTACGAATCGTCTCGCACGCAGACTTGACGACTTCCAGCCTACCGAGAAAGCCGGATTCAGAAAAGGCTTTAGTACCATAGACCACATACATACCCTTCGGAAAATTGTACAGAAGACAAAGGAGTATAATCTGCCACTTTGCCTTGCGTATGTGGACTATGAGAAAGTCTTTGATTCCGTCAAAATTTGGGCGGTGGTACAGTCCCTTCAGCGGTGCCAAGTTGACTGTCGGTATATCGAAGTGCTGAAGTGCTTGTACAGTAGAGCTACGATGGCTATCCAAGTACGGAATCAGAGTACGAAACCTATCCAACTGCAGAGAGGTGTAAGACAGGGTGACGTTACATCCCCGAAACTCTTCACCGCTGCATTGGAAGACGTTTTCAAGCTGCTGGACTGGTATGGATGCGGTATTAACATCAATGGCGAGTACATCACTCACCTTCAATTTGACGACTATATAGTCCTTATAGCAGAATCGCTGGAGGACCTAAGCACTATGCTCAATGACCTCAATAGAGTCTCGCAACGGATAGGTCTTAAGATGAATATGGAAAAAACAAAAATGAAAAAATGTTTAACGTCCACGTTACACCTATGCCGGTGGTTGTTGGGAGCACTAAGTTCGAAGTTGTTGACGAGTATGTTTACTTGGGACAAATAGTCCGACAAGGTAAGTCCAACTTCGACCGAGAGGGCAATCGACGGATTCAACTCGGCTGGGAAGCATTCGGGAAACTACGACACATCTTCTCGTTGGATATACCTCAAAACCTGAAAACGAAATTGTACAACCAGTGCGTTTTGCTAGTGATGACTTACGGACCTGCGACGTGGTCCTTCACTGCTGGCCGTATGAAGAAGTTCAAGGTCGCTCAACGAGCTATGGAGAAGGCTATGCTTGGAGTTTCTCTGCGTGGTAAACTTAGAATTGAGGATATCCGCAGTAGAACTAGAGTAACCAACATAGCGCAATTGATTAATAAGCTGAAGTGGCAGTGGGCCGGCCATATAGCTCGAAGAACCGACAACCGATCGGGAAGAAAGGTTCTCAGAGGCAGCCTCGTACCGGTAGGCGATGTGTAAGGCGACCCCCCCCCCCCCACTAGATGGAGTGATGACCTGGTAAGACATGCAGGATGGAGTCGATGGATGCAGGTGGCTCAGTACCGTGCTTTGTGGCATTCCTTGGGGGAGGCCTATGTTCAGCAGTAGACTTGTGAAAGGCTGTTAGTTTTTTTTTTATCAAGAAACTTTATTTATGGAAGTACTATTTATGGTTGGCAAGAAAAAAAATTGTTGCTCTTTAAAAATTTAGAAATTTTGTAAATTGTAATTTTTGGCTCTTCCGACTCAAAAGGTTGCCGACCCCTGCCCTAGACGAAAGTTTATCGACTAAATTGCAAAAGCGAAAAATTGAAGATGGGTCTGATTAAGAGTACCCTTAACTGACGAGCATATGCGTAGGTATATGGATGTAAAGGAGGCGAGAAAGGTGCGCCAGGATCGTGCCAATTAGAAGTCCATAGTCTCTGCCAACTTCTTTGGGTGATAGGCGTGAGTGTTTATGATCACCCCTTTCTGTCCCGTGGGTGTCGTAAGATGATTATGGGAAAAGTGACCGTTAGTAGGCGTACCATATCGTTTACACCGGTCGTAAAATATTTTATAAGTGATAGAGCCACGCTGCAGCTATATTATGGTTGTAGCACGAATGGGTCGAAAAACCTGGGTATGCCAGAAGAAGCATAAAAGCAAGTTGAATGCAGTGGAGATGCGATCTCTTCGTAAAATGTGCGGCGTTACAATGGCCGACCGAAAGCGAAACGAAGAGATTCGCAATATGGCAAGTTTGAAAGATGACCTTATCACAAAAATTGATAAGGGCGTGCTTCGATGGTCTGGGCACGTTGAGGGAATGAGTGAAGACGGAATGGTGAAGAAAATATATAGCGTGAAAGTTAATATTAAAAGGTGTCGAGGTAGACCGAGACTAACTTTCGAAGACCATGTGAGCAAATTGCTCGAAGAGGGTAGGGTCAAGAGTACTCGGATACCTAGACGTGCATGTATGAAGAAGATAATGAATCTGAAAGAAGCGAAAGAGGTATGTAAGGATCGTGACACTTGGCGATCTGTTCACTCTGGCTACTCCGTCAGGAATTGTGCATGAAGATAAGTAAATAAGTAAGTAAATAAGTACGAATGGGTCGACTAGACCGTGGAAGTACCACGCTCTCGCAGAATACCAGCGTGAAATAGCAGCTTAATGCTGCCGTGTTTCGTATGATGAGTGTAGAGAATCGGAGACCCTTTTTACTGGAAACGAGGCATCCTATCTCAGTCCTAACGGGTGGCGACAAATCTGCATTTTGATTCTTAATTGAGGATAAATGTAGATATCTATGTGCCACAGAAACCACTTACCATCAGGTGGACTGTGCGCTCGTTTGTCACCCTTATTCTATAAAAAAAAACATCCTTATTCTATTTAAAAAAAAAACTTGTAATATTATCGATGATGTTTATCACATTTTAATAGAATGTGCCCAGAACTCAAGAGAAAGAAAAAATTGTAATTTACATTTATTGTCCTTAATTTGTCATTGTCAGATTATGTCAAAAAACTTTATTTGTTAATAAATAAGAGATTAAGTAAGTTATATACCGAGACCTTGCCAAGCCATCAAGAAGTCACCTATCATACAGGACCGCCTGCTAAGTAAATAACAGCACGACTTTAAAGACTAGACTTAAGTTTAAAGACTAACTTAAGAATATTCAACAGTATAAACCATGGTCTAATTGTTAAGATAGCCCAGTAGTAATTAAGTTAGTTTGTAAGTTAGGTAGTCTAGTATTCCTGTGTACTCACATTGTCACAGTAGTTAAACTTGTAAGTTAGAAAATAAAAATAATATAGGAAAATATTTGTGTCCTTCCACTTCAACCCTCCCTAAATTGCTTCAACCCTCCCTAAATTGCCGCAAACGAAAGTAGTTATTTAATTAAGTTTAATTTGTTACTAAATATTTCATTCAAGACTTTTTTGTAACTTTTTTTTTTATAGGATAAGGGTGACGAACGAGCACACAGTCCACCTGATGGTAAGTGGTTGCTGCGGCCCATAGACATCTACATCTATCCTCTATTATAAATCAAAATGTAGATGCGTTGTCACCCGTGAGGCACTAAGATGGAATGCCTCATTTCCAGTAAAAAGGGCCTCCGGCCACCTGCACTCACCAAGCGAAACGCAGAGGTAAACATCTACTTCACGCTGGTTTTCTGTGAAGTCGTGGTACCACCCCGGTTCGAGCCGGCCCATTCGTGCGACAGCTAAAGCTGCCGCGTGGCTCTACCACTGTTAACAACCAGGGCTTCATAATATTATCAGCGACGAAGCCCTTTTTCTATGAATAAAAAAAAGGTAGTAATAGATACCCTCAATAAGTTTAAAATTGTTCAGAAGTATTGTGGTATACTAACCATCCTCAGCTAACATCTCTGTAGCTTGTTCTATATACTTTTCTCTTTGCTGCTTTGGATTGTCTGGGTTGAGACTGATTGCATCATAAGTACCCTTATCGTGGACCAAGCCAAATTTCCCTCCTAAATTCCTTACATCATCATTGAGTATATCGAATACCTGGAAAGTAAAGTAAAAATTTATTGTCACTGAATGAAAATAAATGGTAATTTTAGATAGACGGAAATAGGCCTACCCCTTCAATCTACTAGATTAGGGAGAGGACCTTGTAAAATATGGGGAGGGGATCCTTATTCAGACTCAACATAGGCATTTAGACATGTTGCAGCTATATGGTTGTAGTACGAATAGGTCCGCCCGGCCGCGGTAAGACCACGCTCTCACAGAATAATGTATCACGTAAAATAGCATCTTAATGCTGTTATTGAGGATAAATGTAGATGTCTATGGGTCACAGCAACCACTTACCATCAGGTGGACTGTGTGCTCGTTTGTCAATCTATCCTATAAAAAAAAAAATAACACATTTATTATTTTGTCGTCACGCGGGCGGTGCAACAACGCGCGTCACGTTAGTGAGTACCTACTCACTTTTACAATAAATACACAAATAATTCTGTTAATGAATGCTTCTATTCAGAAGTTGTGATTATAATTTATTGTTAGATTAACACAGTTGTTACATTTTGATTCTTTATTGAGGATAAATGCAGATGTCCATGGGTCACAGCAACCACTTACCATCAGGTGGACTGTGTGCTCGTTTGTCAATCTATCCTATAAAAAAAAAATACATTTTGTGGTACCTGCTAACTACAAAAAATTCAAAGTGGTTGGGAAACCCTGCATTACATTCCTATAAAAATTCCATTGCTGAACATAGACGTCCCTCATAGATTGCCTCATTGAAAGATTTTGCAGACAATTTTATTATTATTTAGAGTTGTTATCAGTAAGATGCTGCTGCCCATCTCCTGTTTTATTTTCCCTCTGTCGCCTCTTAGGGGCCGCCTCCACGAGCGAGAGAATCGCGGAGATATTATCGTTGTGCCAAGTATTTCTATACACTCTCTTAGAACGTGTCTACACACGGCGATGTTATCGCGGCGATGCGACGAGTGGCTGGGTGTGAGCGAAACGTCATCGTAGCGCCGCGCGCATGCCACTGAATCACGGAACGTGGCGCTCTTGCAGCGAGAGCGCGGCGAGCGCAAAACTATTGCATAACACCTTGTAATCGCTCATTCGTGGAGACTACCCGACGATAGAAGTGCAGACTCTTGGCGATTCTCTCGCTCGTGGAGGCGATCCCTAAGAGTGTATAGAAATACGTGGCACGACGATAATATCGCCGCGATTCTCTCGAGGGGCGGAGGCGGCCCCATACGACACCCGCAGCATGATATGGGGTAGTGGATATTCTTACCACGCCACTACACGGTTAGACAGCGTTTCCACTCTAATTGGCACACCGCTAATATAATTTGTACGATACGACGAATAACAATAGTGGGCTCACGCCCACCATTGTTGGTCGCAGGGTATTAAGTGTTTGTGTTATGTTTTGTTTTAGATTGGAAGCCCCTTACAAAAAAGTTAATTTTGCAAGAACAGATTTCATTTACTTTGTTGTCACTCCGATGACTGACTTGACATTGCCAGATAAGAGGAGTCATAAAGAAGAAGGAGTCCCAACTCCTACCAAACAAAAATTATTTTAAAATACCTGAAACCTTATAAAAGGGAACTGCTTCTGTGCCACCTTCTCCGCCAACACAATAGCTTCTTGGCAGTAATCTACACCGAGGAGGTTTGTGAAGCCTTCCCTAGCCAGTTCAGATAACGTATATCCATTGCCGCAACCTTAAAGTCAAAATATTAATAATAATAACTTCTTCCAAATTGAATTTCGGTCATGACAGCTGGTCACAAACGTTTACAACCACTAGACGCCAGTGTAGTAAATAACAGACAGTCAATAGAACAGTATGTGGAGTATTTCAACATAATATTATTTCATTCACCTGCTCAACAAAGGCCTACTTATAAATTGCTGCATATATGTATCTTAAAAAACTAGCTGTCCTTCGCGACTTCGCCCGTGTATTTTACTACAATTTCATGGATTTTAATTTTATGCGTGGAACCCTAATTCTTTTTCTAAAATAAAAGTACAGTAGAACGCCGATTATCCGAATTAATTGGGACCGGAGTCGATTCGGATAATCGAAAATTCGGATAATCGGACATAGACTAGCATGTAATATATAAAAACGAACTGTCACACATAGAATAAACTTTATTAAGTTTATAAATGGTTTTACACTTTATAAAGTTTTATAAAGAGTAAAACCAGCTACACCCATTTTTTCACTGAACATTCACGCCTTTTCACATAAAATCGATCCTGAAATCGGTTGTCCAATAGATCGTTGCTGCAGAAACCATATAAAAACAGCATTCTCAAGCTGTTCATCCTTTGCCTTTTTCATTACTTTTCGCGATGAACATCCATCACCAGTTTCCAACGCAGTCAAAAAACTTAAAATTTTTTCACTGTTATTTTTAATATCAGTTAAACAAGTACACAAGTAATGTAAGTGTATAAGTAATGTAAGTAAGTAATGTTACTTACAGTACTTGGTTTTAATTTTTTATATTACTCTTAGGATTAGGACCGATTCGGTTAATCAATTATATTTATTTGTATATCTTTTTTAATGGATATATATGTATATATATGCACAGGGGGGGGGGGGGGGGGGGGGTCTGAGGTGTTCGACGTCCTAATGGCATAGTTAACCATGGCTTCCTTCAGATTATTATTATTAATTTTTGGTTTGATCTATGCAGTATGAACTTTTCTTGAAGTCTTACAATAACATCCTAATTCCAAGACAGATGGTTGTACCCAGCTATGGTGTATCCATCTGCTTGGGATCCTATTATTAATAAAATTAAATCAAAAACCAAGCATACAAGACTTGAAGATACTATAATTTCATACTGAGTAGATCGGACCAAAAATTAATAATTATTAATTTGAAGGTAGACGGGGTTAACTACGACATTGGTATGTTGAACACCTTCATCCCCCTGTGACCACGGTTCCTGTAAAGTACTTGAAACGTCGGTAATACAAAATAGGTTAATATATGTGAGAAAATCCATAAAAACTAGTTTTATTTCAATGTATAGTGTTTGCATAAACATAAGAAATCATAATATTTGCTATAGTTGTCATCACTACAATTTTTTTTATTATTATTTTGTTATCAAGTAGATGCTGCTGCCCGTTTCCCTTTTCAGGGATGATATGGGGAAGTGGATTCTCTTATACCACCAATACACTGCGGTAGCTCTGATTTGGTGAGGAACCTCAAGTTCAAATCCCACTGGCTCCAATGAAATTGTTAATTACAATATTGAGTGCTGCAACGCATTGGGGCAGCGCGACATACCTTTTCTAGCACTAAAATCTTCTCAAAAATGAGAGGAGCCCCAGGAGTGGCATGTAGCAGGCTGTAACTTCCATACTTTACGTAATGCTACACTGGGCAGTGTAGCATTACGTTTTTTTTTTTTTGTTGTTGTTTTTTTTTTATGGAAAAGTACAGTTCATTAAACACTCAGTCATTTTAATAGTATTGAATTGTATGAAGTGCATGGGGAGGGTCACCACTCCACAAGTGCACAGCTGAACATAGGACTCCCCAAAAGAATACCAAAAAGCAAGGTTCTGAGCTACTTGCATCCACTTTCTGCATCTCTTAACAAAACTCTCCATCTAGTGGGGGCCTTCTCTACATTACCACTTAAGATTATACCTGTATTTTATTGTAAACAACATCAAAATATTTTTTTTCTAGGATAAGGGTGACAAACGAGCACACAGTCCACCTGATGGTAAGTGGTTGCTGCGGCCCATAGACATCTACATCTATCCTCTGTTACAAATCAAAATGCAGATGCGTTGTCATCCGTGATGACTAAGATGGAATGCCTCATTTCCAGTAAAAAGGGCCTCCGGCCACTTGCACTCACCAAGCGAAACGCAGAGGTAAACCTCTACTTCACGCTGGTATTCTGTGAGGTCGTGGTACCACCCCAGTTTGAGCCGGCCCATCCGTGCGACAGCAAAAGCTGCCACGTGGCTCTACCACTGTTACATATTTATGCACTTTATTGGAAATAAAACATTAATAAAATATATATTAGGAACTTTTACAGCCTGTAAAAGTCTACTATAGAATTTATGCCCCCGCATAGATTGGGTAAATGGGTATATTTGCCAATTGCAGTTTTTAATTGTATTATGTCATAATCATGAAAACGCTGCTACCCATCTCGATTCATTTTAATAATTTAATAGTATAAATAATAGACATCTATCTATCGTCTATATTAATACATCGCCACTATATGGTGAATAAAAAATAACATATATTAATACATTACCCAAATCTATTACAGCTGTATCTTGTGGTATCCCGCACTGACATATCCATTTAATTACACGATAAGCGCTGTCTTCTCCAAACCAAACATCACCAGGGTCACCATGCTCTTCAAAATTTATTATTTCTTTTGCATACGTTTTCTGCCAGTAAGACTGCGTTCCAAGTTCAGAAGGTTCTAATTCTGTATCATCCATTTCTTTATTTAGGAACGACAATTACTAGTTTTACGAACGAAACAAAATTATTAGTTTCACTATTAAGTATAACTTTATAACGAAATTAAGTAGCCCTTCAAGTTCAAGGTACTCTGTTCTGTATATTATTTATATTATCTGTGCATAATAGTTATTCATTTGTTGATTTGTGAATTTGTAAACTAATTATATAACATAAATTACTTATACAGACTACAGAGTAGGCAATTTATTTTTCTTTTTCAACCAAATATTCAAAATTCAAGTTATCATTTATCAAGGACTTTTTCGCTAGAGAGTTAGGGATGTTCAATGATCATCGATTTAAAAATTAAAACATCGATGTTTATAATCGAAGTTACTACATGTCAAACATCGAAACATCGATGTTAAAGAATTTATAATCGATAATTGGGAACTTGCGAACCCGCGAAATCAATATTAAATAAATATTGCGTCTCCAATAATTTAAAATTTTGAACAATTAAGAACAATTAAAAAATGTAATTAGTGTATCTCAAATTTAACTGTCAAGTGTCAACTATAATGTCACAGTTGTCACTGCTTTCGCTTTGTTATTGTGGTAGCGTTATTGGTTATCTGTTTCTTTGTCGGTTGTTTTTTAAACTATCCAGTGGTTGAGGTCAAACAAGATTCAATGCATGTTTAGAACAATGTTAATGGTTCTACTTATCTACAATAAAAAATAAAAACTTGCGGTAAGATATTTGACCACTACAGCTACATCAACGCCATCTGAGCGGTTATTTTCAAAAGCTGGCTTAACTTTTTATCAACAGAAATACAGATTGAATGGTACTTTTTGTCAAAATTACTATTTCTTCTATCAAATCAATCGGCATAAAATTTTGGACTATATTAGATATTTGTAAACTTCTTCCAACTTTTTTTAATAACTGTTTTACACTACATTGTTTAATAATTTATTTTATTTCATTAATAATAAAATATAACTTATTAAATACTTGCGCAAAAACATCGATAATAGCCAACATCGAAGTCATCATCGATGTTTCGACAACCTCGATCATTCCTAAATTTTGCTTAGCTTTTTTTATAACTGGCTTTACGGCTTTGGGTTCTAGTCTTTCTGAAGGTGAAGTTAAAATGTATAATTATTCTTCATAGTGTACTGCTTCGCAATATTTTGATGCATTACATTGTGCAGCCTTTGGTATTTGGAGATTTTGACGGCAACTTGAGCCAGCAGACAGCTGACAGTTGGCGATGGTATCTCAAGGCGCCCAAGCAGACAGACACCTTATATTGAGAATCATATCTCCATCAGAGCACTTGTTTCACCGTTTCCACTAATAGTTCACATACTTTTACACCTCAAAATCCACTTCAAACCATTATTTAAACAATAATACAGGAGTAACAAACCGCCACCGGTCAAGTTCCCGCCAGAAACCTCCTTCGCTTCGCTTCGGCTTCGATCCTATACATAACTGTATATTTCCTACATATGAAAAAGAAAATTATTCTGTGCTGTATATCCCAAACTAATAAGAAGTGCTATGCTAGCTGTATATGTATATTATAATATACTTCGAATGGGAACGTCAATCAATAGATTTTTTTTCTTTAATAGTAATGGAAAATTATCGTAAGTAATTTCTTTTGATGATGAGTCATACGGTGGCGACCATGTTAACGGCGAGGCAGGGGGTGGTTTCCGGTGGCGGTTCAGTTGCCACCCAAGACGACTCGACCTGGCAACATACAACGCACGCACCCTGAGGACTGACGAAAAGATCCTCGAGCTGGAAGAAGAGATAGACAAGTTGAGCTGGAATATTATAGGATTGTCCGAGGTCCGAAGAGAGGGGGAGGACACATATCCCGGACGTCAGTCTGAGCGAGATTAGAATGGCTCTCCAGCACCTTAAAAACGGCAAGTCCCCAGGCAAGGATGGAATTACAGCGGAGCTTCTGAAGTGGGTGTAAAACCGGTACTTAAAGTCCTTCAGAAGCTCTTTAATTCCGTCCTCCATGGTGGCACTACTTCGGAGGCGTGGAGCAGACGTACCGTGGTCCTCTTCTTCAAGAAAGGCGACAACGCTCTCTTGAAGAACTACAGACCGATTTCTCTTCTGAGCCGCGTCTACGTGCTGTTTTCGAGAGTCATTATGAATCGTGTCGCACGCAGACTCGATGACTTCCAGTCTCCCGAACAAGCCAGTTTCCGAAAAGGGTTTAGTACCATGGTACTAAAGCCTTTTCGGAAACTCCGTCCATGGACCACATACACACCCTTCGGCAAATTGTACAGAAGACAGAATAGTACAATCTGCCACTTTGCCTTGCGTATGTGGACTATAAGAAAGCCTTTGATTCCGTCGAAATTTGGGCGGTGCTACAGTCCCTTCAGCGAAGCCAAGTTGACTGTCGGCATATCGGAATGCTGAATTGTTTCTACAGTAGCGCTACAATGGCTATTCGAGTACAGAATCAGAGTACGAAAGCAATCCAACTGCAGAGAGGTGTAAGACAGGGTAACGTTATATCCCCGAAGATGAGTAGAGAAAGATCAGTTTGTTGGGAGCACTAAGCTGGAAGTTGTTGACGAGTATATTTGCCTGGGACAAATAGTCCGACTAGGTAAGTCCAACTTTAACCGAGAGGTCAATCGACGCATTCAACTCGGCTGGGCAGCGTTCGGGAAACTACCACACATCTTCTCGTCAGGTATACCTCAAAACCTGAAAACGAGATTGTACAACCAGTGCGTGTTGCCACTTGCCAGTGATGACTTATGGATCTGCGACGTGGTCCTTCACTGTTGCCCGTAGCCAGCATTGCTGGCTGCAGGTGTCCTTGGACAGCAGTAGCCACTTATCATCAGGTTTGTTTGTTACTTCATCTTTATAAAATTAAAAAAAAAAACTAAATAATTATTTTCATATTGAATGGCTAGCACCACATAATACTTTCGTATGGGCAAAGTATAGTAATCAGTAGTAAGTAAATTAACTTAATATACTAAAATATAATATTTTTATACATTGGTTGCGTACATTTCTTTTCTTTATTTTTTTTTTCGTGCAACTCTTTCGTTACCAGATTTAGCACATTGCTTAAATTTTTCTTTGCTTATCAGATAAGGTATTTTCTATATTTATCTTAGGATGGTAACATCAAACTCACACTCTATCGTAACGTGTAATAGTGAATTGACAATCGAATTTGGTACGGGTCGTTCAACAAACTTGGTACGGCGGACTAAATATGATCGCAATGACTCCGATGTTTGATTTTAACTTAACTTTTTTCCTCGCTCGCCTATGCGTGGCTTTTGCCATGTTAGGTACGAACACAATGCCTATAATTTTTGAATTTAACAACTATTTTCCTCTACTTTCTGTACGCGTTAATTTTCGTTTTCACTTCTTGCTTCTTTCATATTTCAAATTATATCGTCATCATCATTTATATTGTCCTGCACCATGAATTGGCCAATAGTGGGGTTATTTACTATGGATGTAATGTTTAACAGGTAGGTTGGCAAACGCAGTTTTCTATTATTAAATTTGTAAGTACGAATGGGGGCTGATTAATTAATAGTCCGTTTTCTCACACTTATATTTTTTATTGCGCTAGGCACACAGAAATAAAGTTCAATAACAGCACAATACAGAAGGTACAAATGAGTAGACAGGAACACAGTAATATATACAAGGAAAAATTTAACTATACGAACTACGTAAGCTTGGGTATTAGGTAGACAACGGGTATGGGATACGTATGACGTTTAACGCGGAAGCGGACGAACTGGCGATCTGCTGTCCCGAAGGCGTGGGCGCAGCGACCGAATTTTTAGCAGTATCAATAATAATTATTATAAGCAATTAATATAGTAATGGCAAGCAAAGTGTAAGGCGTCCTCCCCACTAGATGGAGCGATAACCTGGTAGAGATCAAGGAAGGTGTTAAGCTCAGGTGGTTTGAAACCATGCTTTGAAGCATTTATTGGGGGAGCAGTTGTTTTGAGAAGGGTTGTAATGAAGATGGTGATACATGTCGGCAGACTACTCTTTCGGTTTACACAAAGGTATCTGTGGACTAGTTTCTACCAGAAGAGAACAATAATCATTGTTTTATAGCCACCTCTATAGATATAGACTACGTTTCATATATAACATAGCGGTTATATTCTCTTGGCCCTAGTAAACAAACAGTTTTACTACGGGCGGACCAAATCCGTGGTCCATTCCATAATCTGTACCAAATTCGATCGTTTGTTAACAGTTAACACTATTAGTATAACGTCAAACGTCAAATTGATTTTCAAGTTTCAAGAAAAAAAAATATCTTGCCTGAGTGACGTGAGCGTGACGACCGATGAACGACGATTTTCAATTCATTTCATTACCAGATTGAGAGGACAGTGTCGGTAACTTGCGTTCAGAGTTTATTTTACCGCGATGTCTCTTAACCAATTATTCTCAATAAAAATTACTTTACTGACGACACGGCCTAAAATAGACTGTTTTATAAATTAAACTTCCCACTTGTTCACTGTATACCTATGACATATGACTGAATAAATTAATATTTGCCACTGGCGGTGAAGTGCACCAATCGATAATTGTGTCATAATATTTACGAAAGAAATACAATGTAAATAAACTTTATTTCAATTTAGCTTTCTTTTCTAACTGGTGCTGGATTCTGTGATAGTGAAATATTTACTGTATCGCTAAAAACTGTCTTGATATTTACGCAATAAACTTGTGTTACATACAAAAAGCAATAATTAGGACAAAGTGAAGTGATGCGACAGCAATATCAATAATTTTGGTAAGTTATGTAAATATTTTTTTTTATATGTTTATAACTCAACTTGCCAGTATTTTGCTAAAATAGCTTTTATCTATTACCAACAAATAAAATCTTTATTTTCCTTTAGGTATCTCAGTTAACCATTTTGTATAAAACATTAAATAAATTTTAAAAATGCAAATATTTATTTTACAGCTTAAAAAAAATTGTTTACATACATTTGTCATTGTTGAAGTTAAAACACTATTTATGATAATTTTTTTTATAAGACTGAAGTGGCAAACGAACTTATAGGGGCTACCTGATAGTACTGCAGCCCACTTCAACAAAATAAGGCTACATAATATGCATTATTACCTATGAGGACTAAGGCAGAATGCCCCGCAGACTGTATTTACACTGCCTCTCATACCATTTAAGACTGGAACACAGAAGTGCAAGCACTGCTAAAAGCACTGCAGAAGTAGTTTAAAAGGTGATACATATACCTAGGACATATAGATAGAAAAGTAGACCTACGTACCACTTAGAATCTTATATCTAGTTAGTTTTTATCTGTCATCATGTGATTGTGACGTTGGGTTATTCTTTTTCGGCTTAGTAATCTATCTGGGTAGGTACCACACTCATTTGTTTCTCGTGCCAAATATCAGTGTTTTCACCATTAAGTTACATGTACTACGTACTAGAGAAGCCATTCCGAACATTGACTATGTTCAACTGAAGTGTACTGCAATCCGTAAAAACTAAATATTGCATAAATTGAATATTTGTGAGTTCCATAAAATAATTATTATTACATTTTATTTAGAAATATGTTTCTTTAGATTAAATTAAGATATTTTATTTTAAATTCTCATATTTATTTTATATTAATATCTTATATCAAATTAAAGTCTTCGCGCATGCGTGACTACTACTCCCGCACATGCGCGAATACATAGAGTAGCACACAATTTTTGTCTGGAATGGCTTCTCTAGTACGTAGTACATATAACTCAATGGTTTTCACTTAATGATTTCCTATATTTATACGAACACTACACATTTAATGAAACTAATTTAGTGGATTTTGTGGCATTTAATTCTTACTTTTTTATTTCCGACGTTTCGGATGCTTTACAGCATCAACATTCCGCCCATGATCATGGGTGCTGCAATGTACCCGAAACGTCACAATGAAAAGGTTAAAATTAAACACGACAAAATCTGTAACATTTGTTAATTCAGTGCTTTCACTGCTGTGTTCCGAACAATACGGTATAGCGAGTAAGTATAATTAAGAGACGACAATGTATTTTGTTTATTTGAAGCCGTAGCCACATACCATCAGGTGAAATGTAAGTTCATTTCGCACAACAGTTTTATACTTACTGAAAAAAAAAATGCATTATTGTGACCGTGTAGTGGCGGTGTAAGAATATCCACTACCTCATATCATTCCGTGGGTCTCCTAGAAGGCAAAAGAGGGAAACAAATCAGGAGATGGGCAGCAGCGACTTCCTCATAACGCCTAAAAAGAAAAACTGCGGTTGCCAACCCACTTGCCAAGCGTGGCAACTATGGCAAGTATCCCCCCTATAAGGGAGGCCTATGTTCAGCGGTGGACTTTAATGGGCTGTAACGGTAAGGGTATTGTAATCTCTAATTGAAGCTACAGCTCATCTTTGTTATGTGTAAGAACATAAACTTTGTAAAATCGTGAGTTTTATTACAATGAGGTTGTTTACGAGTAAGTGCTGTTCTTTGACGACTTTGTCAATGTTAAAGGTATAATGTAAGACAAATTCTCACGTTTTCCTTATGTATGATCTCTTATTTGTATAAGTATATTATAAACTTCTAAGGTCGAACTGTCTATTATTTGATGCTGTTATCTCTAAATAGTATAAAACAAAGTCCTTTCCAGCTGTCTGTACGCTTACATCTTTGAAATTACACAAAGGATTTTGATGCAGTGTTCATCAATAGACAGAACGATTCAAGAGGAAGGTTTATTTGTAGAACTAGCTGATACCTGCAACTTCTTCCACGTTGCTTACACACATTACTAAACATGTGGTGCTTATAAAAATTGTTGTTTCTTAAAACTTTAATAACTTTATATTAAACTAGCTGTGCCCCGCGGTTTCACCCGCGTCATCACGTATCGGTGGTGCGCGACATGACCTAGTTCAAGCATTTTATAATTGCAATTAAATATATTATTTGATAGCTATGGATGGAAAAATTGGCATAATTAATGGAGTACTTTTATCTGTCAGCATATTATGTATGATCTAGAGTGAAGGTAAGTTTTATCTACTTTCCCTCCCCCTCCCGGTAGAGCGTCCTCCCCCCCCCACGTTCTCACCGGGCGCCTACGGTTTATGCGTCGTTCGCGCGCCCAGCCAAGTATTGAATTATTTTAATTTTACATTATTTCTTAAACTATGCGTCCAAATAACATGGTATAAAGAACAAAGTTTAACTTCATAAAATTGTCTTGATGATGAAGTAATTTTCGTTCGTAAGGATAAATAGGTCATGCCCAATAATAACGCTCATAAATCACTTAAATTTTCAATATTTTTTTGTCACAAAATACCTATTTATGGCTCATGTATAAGAAATAGACATATGGTATCCCGGACTTTTTTTTAGACGGAGTAACGATCTATATTTTTCTAGAACATTGTATTTACGTATCCCTAACGATAACACCAGCGTACGCGGATAAATCATTTCGGGAGTGCTTTTTCTTCTGACTTGCTTAACAAATATCCATATTTAAGGCTAGCTGAGTGATATAGCTTAATGCTAGATAGCCTATACTATTCCACATGAATCTGGCTGTAATATACAAAAATAATTTTTCAAATCGGACTGGTAGTTCCAGAGATTAGCGCGTTTAAACAAACAAAAAAACAAAAAAAACTCTCCCGCTTTTTTATATTAGTATAGATGAAGATATCGCAATACTTTGTTTTTAGATATGGGCCTAGTGACTAAGAAATAAAAGTTAGAAAACCTAATTGACATCTATCCAGTTGTTTTTCAGTGATGCGCGCACAACTGCAAACCTCTATCATTTTATTTGTATAGACTAGCTGTTCCCCGCGACTTCGCCCGCGCGTAATTTATTACGATTGGATTACATGGGGTTTAATTTTTGCGCGGAACCCTAATTCTTTTTCTAAAATAAAAGTAGCCTAAGTTAGTCCTTATAACATCAGCTATCTGCCAGTGAAAGTCCGGTCAATACTCAATACTCAATAACTTTATTGCATTCCATAGGTTACAAAAGGTGTTACATAGTTTTATGGTATCTCCATGGGCCCTGATGGGCACAGCAATATTATGAAGGAGGAACATTTATTATTATAATTATTGCTATTTTTAAATAATTATTTAATATTAACATTTATTCTATTATTTAAACATACACACAATGAATTTTAAATACGGTTATTTTAATTGTTATAATTTATTAATGAATTGATTTTGACATTTAAGGTATTATTATAATTGGTGTAATTAGCACAGTTGAATTTTTATTAAATTATTTGAATCATTTTAAATTTTATTTGAATTTTTTATTGTAATTTATTTAGTAGGATGGCATTTCATTATTACCTAACATATTTTTATTTACATATCTATATTATATTATATTTTTATCATCTAAAAATTCAGAAGTATTATAGTAACACTTATTTATAAGCAGTTGCTTTAATTTTTTTACGAATTGTTTTTCTTCCTTAATGCTTTTTATATATTCGGGTAATTTATTATATATTTTTATAGACATGGCGAATGGGCTGGAAGAATGAGATTTTAGTTTTGAAATTGGCAGCACTAATTTGTCAAAATCGGTCCAGAACAAACAGACAGACAGAAAGACAGACAAAAATTTATAAATCGTGTTTCTGTTATAAGTACCGTGTATACTTTCATATTCATATGCATAATTATAGTAAAAGGCTGTTATTTCGACATTACAAACAGACACTTAAATTTTATTTATTTGTATAGATTATATACATAATTTTTCTATCGTGTGTAAGTGACTGAACTCCTCTTAAACGGCTTGACCGATTTTGATGAAATTTTGTGTACCTACGTGAATAAGTTGATTCGAGAATGGTTTTGATTCACAATTGGACCCGGTAGATGGCGCTGCTGTCGGGATCCAGAAATCACCTGTGTAAAGTGTGAGTGGATCGTCAAAGATAAATTACAATACCTAACTAGGTACACTGTAACTGTAGGCGGATATCAGTAGATAATAATGTCGTTCTGACCGAATTTCGGTCATGGCGGGCTGTCTCAAAGGAATCTAGTCATCCGCGGAGGACAGAATTATAGTGACGCGAATGCGCCAGCTCAAGTGCACTCTCTATTCCCTTAATCTCATAAGAGTTTATTCTTTACGTGGTAGAGCCATGCTGCAGCTATATTAGTAGTATAGTTGTAACACGAATGGGTCGGATCGACCGGGCAAGGACCGCGCTCTCACAGAAACCAGCGTAATGTAGCAGCCAAACGCTGCTGTGTTTCGTATGGTGAGTGTAGAGAACCGGAGACCCTTTTTACTGGAAATGAGGCATTCCATCTTAGTCCTTACGGGTGACAACTTATCTGCATTCTGATTTGTAATCGAGGATAGATATAGATGATAGACCGCAACAACCACTTACCAACAGGTGGACTGTGTCACATTCATTTTATACGTGGTAGAGCCATGCTGCAGCTATATTAGTAGTATAGTTGTAGCACCAGTGGGTCGGCTTGACCGAGGTAGGACCACTCTCATCATATACCAGCGTGGCCATCATAGGCGGGTTAAGGCTGCTGAAAGGGACCAACAGACAGGGGTTAGTCATTCATTGACGTTCTACCCCGAAACATAAATCACACGGTTGGGTTCGGGAGCAACGAGGTGGACGTGACCCCCGTGAAGTGTCACACGAGAACGTCTGTCGCCCTTTCTGCAAAGAAATATTCAAATATTTCTTTTCAGACATATGCTCACCATA